TATTCAATTTAATTTCTATTATTAATTATTTTAGCTACAAACGAAACCAAGTATAACCACAATAAAAAAATATTGAAAAAAAATTACGCATCACCCGAATGTGGTGCTAAAGTAGTATCTACAAATCCTGAAGCAAAATATCCACACTTATTATTGACAAAACATTCTGATGAATATTTATTAAATTTATGTAAGAGTACTACTTGGTTTGTTGTTGAATTGTGTGAAGCAATTCAAGTGAAAAAAGTAAGTAAAAATCATGTGTCTATGTATGTTATAAATTATATTTTAATTAAATTTTTTAGATTGAATTGGCAAATTTTGAATTGTTCTCATCTACACCAAAAGAGTTTTCAGTGTATGTTGCTTCTCGACTGAATGCACGTGTATGGTCGCCAATTGCTAATTTAGTGGCAGAAGATGTGCGAGTATTGCAAGGTTTTATTTTGAATACAACAGATGAAAATGAATTTAACAAATATATTAAAGTTGAGATACATTCACACTATGGAAAAGAACATTATTGTCCAATATCAGTATTTAATGCTTATGGATTATCAGAAATAGAAGTATGATAAATAGATATTCATAAAAATATAATGAATAATATCTATGTATTTTTATTTTAGGTGTTAGAAAGATCAGATGAAAATGGATTAGAAATTAACATAGCAGAAAACGAAGATGCTGATGATTTGGATGCATTAAATGAGGAAATTCAAAATAACCAAAATAAGTCAATGGACAGTAAAAATACATTGCTCGACAGTGCTCGTGTTGCAGTGATGTCAATTGTTAAAATAGCTGCAGATGTGTTAGATATTAGGCAAAAAAATACTAATAATTTGTCTAATTATACATCAAATGATAGCATTGATAATATAACAGAAGAAGTCCAATTTTCAAAATGTATTACTCCTGGATACATCATGGTCTGTCACAGTTGTAATGACACGTTTTATAAGAAGTTAGTTTTATATTTTTAATATTACTCATGAGAATTAAAAATAATATATTTTAATATAATTTTTTGTAGAATGTTTGACACTATTAGCTGCGAAGCAGATCATTTAACCGAGATGTATCAAAATCGGTACATCCACAATACAATAATGAATAGTGATGCGTGTGTAGAATTTGGATTAGATTTTTTAACTATAAAAAAAAAATCTCAACGAAAAATCCCTTTGATTAGTGATCAAAGAAAAAAATTTATCCTATCGATTTTTTCACGTGTGAAAATAGCTGCATTATGTAATACTTTGGCAATTGTGCACAAAAAAATTGTATTGAATAAGGCTAAACGTGTTTACATTAGTGAAAACTTGATTATCAATTTGCAAACATCGATTCCAGATAAAAATGAGTCAACTACTAACAATAGTTTTACAAAACCTCAGCAATTAAAAAATGACACCTCTAATTCTGACACAATTAATGATCATAAATCGACAGTAACTAGTTATATTGAACCTATAATTTCTCAGATATTACCAACAAAAGTATTTTCAAGTTCAGACGGAGATTCTGGATCATCAAACAAATATTATGTTAAAGAATCTGCGACAGTCATTAATGAAAATACAACATTATCTTCATCATTACATACCGAGTTGAATTCAACAAATGAAGTTCCTATTCCAAGTTCTACTCAATGTATGTTATTATCTGTTCTTTATATTATGCTTATCTAATCATTAAATAATTTTTCAGTTGAAACTAGTTATATTGTAGAAAAACCGATAGATTCTGAATCTCAGAATAATATTGAAACAAACGTTACAAATGAAGGAGTGTTAGTTGAACCACCCTCAGATACGTTTGATAGTTTTTTCAAAGATTTTGAGGTCGAAGAACATGATCATGACAAATGTAACCCTACAACAGCAGAGTCATTGGTACATCATACTGTACAACCTTCAGTTCAATCACAAAATACCAAGCAATCTTTATTCATTCGCTTAGCGAATCGTATTAAAGTATGTAATATATAATAACTTCAATAGGCATTTATAATTTATAATTTATAATGAAACACAATTTATTAATTTGCTCTTAATTTTTTATAGGATTTAGAACTTAATATGTCTCTCAGTGGTGAATATTTGCAAGAGCTTAGTACTCGTTATAAGAAACAAGTTGATGATATGCAACGTACTATTTTGGAGTTAACTGAAGAAAATAGAATCAAAAGGGAACAAGATTTAAAAATGTATGGAGAAATAAAATTTCTTAGTGATCAAGTGGCTTCTCTTCAAAATTCACTCCACTGTCTAAAAACTGAAACAGAAAATTTGAACTTGGTGATTAATTTTATTTATAAACTATTTAATATTTGTTCATGTACATTATTTAGACCAATTCTTATGTTAAAATGTATTTTTGTGCTTACAGTTTTCAGTTATCGTTCCTGAAAGCAATCCTCTTAAAATTGGAATAATTTGTTTATTAATTTTAACATATATACTTCTTAGAATGACGGGTATTATAGGAAAGAAAAATCAAGAATTAGAATGGAAAAATTCTAATACAGGATCAGGTGCACGTAGGCAGTCTACCAATGATATTTTATCAAATATTAAAGAGAAGCATCGACGTCCTAGTGAAGAAGCATTATTTTCATCTGGTAAAAACACATTTACTGTTGTTACTTAATTATTATAATGAATAATAATACCTTAACAAAAAAAAAAAAAAAAAATCGTTTAAAATGAGCTTAGTATGATTATAAAATATATTTATTTTATATATATGGAGTATATTATTTTGTGAATAAAATACTTCACTCGTTATAATTATATGATTACAATTTAAGTTTCAAATAATAACCAAGGTCTAAAAATAATATTAACTGCTTTTATAAAAAGACTTATTTTAATATTTAAATTTTCAAAGAAAACTTTTAGTATTTTAAATATAATATGAGCATATTGTTATTAATTATAAATATTTATTTTAACAGTAAACCCAAACTATAAACAATACAGTTGGTAACTATAAAACATTTTTTAAGATAAACAAAACCAAATTTTTTTTAAGAAATAAACTGTAAAATGGTTAGAATTTTAAGTAAGAAATAGATCATTAAATGTGAAATATTTCTAAAAAAATGTATTAAAATTTTTATACAATGTATTATTATATAATTTAAAAATAATTAGCAGTTTCAAAAATTGTAAAATATGTAAAATTTAATGTAAGAATTTACTGTTACGTTTAAAATGAGAAAACATCCTAATACAGCATAGTAGAATATTATTTTCTTTATCATCAATTATTTTTAAATGAATATTTTAGTATTTTTGTTTTTACATAAAGACTATATACATTTTATTGTGACAAAATAAGTATTAACTAACTAATACAATTGTTATATTGTCAATAGGAACCACCCATCAAGATTTATTAATTCGAAACAACAATGGAGAAAATACAAAAAACGAAAAAAAACGTAGAAAAAAGAGAAAAGAGCTTATTTTGAAATCAAAGTCAAATGCAATTAATCTAGAAGCGGGTGGTGTCGATAGTAATATAAAACTAAAATTAACCTCTAATTTCTCTCAATCAAATCGAAGAGCTTCCTCGTCTGATCTTACTACCTGCAATGGCTCGACACATGATTTCATAAAAACTGCACTGTCAGTTAGAAATAAACGAATGTCTGGACCATTGCAACATACCCTAAGTGTCCTTGATTCCAATACAAACAAAAATACAACTGAAACAAAGTCAAAAAGTATTAAAACTTTTTTGAAAAAAATATTTTAGACTCTTAGATTAGCATGTAATTAAAATTTTGTTGATTATATTTGTTAACTATTTATATGTTTTGTCCTGTGGTATTGTGGAACTGATGTTATCTATTTATCAATATATGTTAACATATTAAAATATTATTTAATTTGTTTATACTACAATTTATGTATTTATGTGGTTTATTACAATTTAATTTTTGTTGATGATTGACTATTACTAGTGTAGTCAATTTTATCTATATATTTTATTATAAATATAAGGTTTTGTACAGTTAAAGCACAAAGATTAGGTAATGTAACTCATATTTAAGCATAATTAACATTATTGTATCTGAACTATTTTTATACACTATATTAAAATGTTAAAATGTATTACATTTACATAAATTACAATTACTTTATATTTTTGAAGATATACATGAACAATTTTAATAGTAAAGTACTTTTAAATATTTTAAAGAGAAATAAGTATATTAAGAATATCATTATTTACTTATTAACTTCAGTTAATATAGTTATTTTAGTTAACATATTCTAAACAAAATTAATTTGTATATTTAAATTTCATAAATTATCTTGAAACATGAAAATAATTAAGCACAAATGTTTTTTTATGCTAGATTTGAATTAATAATCACTAAGTATAGATTTATAGTTTTGCATAATTTAAATGTGAAATACTGTTTTATATCAATTGAGTTTTGACACAAAAATTTTTACCAATAAATAAACAATGAATTTGAAATGGTTTCTATACATTTTTTTCATATATTTTCAGATATATGAAATTTAATATGAATTATATTATTATTATTATAAACAACTATATCGTATTTTTTTTTTTTTATTATTTGCCAATATTTTACAATTTAAGTTCATAACAATTTCACTTATCAATATTTAGTAGGTTAATACTGAACAATCAGCATTAAAAAAAAAAAAAAATGTGCATATTTTCATTTTTTTTATTATCAGTTATGTATTTAGAGTACACCAATTACCTATATTAATGAACAAAAAACTGATTAATACGGTTTAATTGAGTTTAAATTAAACTATAACCATATGATAAAGTTCACTAGTTAAGACCATATTATATTAATTTTTTTTTATATATTATTTAAGTAATGACTGGTTACTTGGTCACTCAACTTAATATAAATACTTATGTTTGTTAGTTGTACTATTCTGTATACATTAGTTATTAAACAAAATAAGTAACAAGGAGTGTTTTATTATCCATCATTAATTAATTATTAAAAAGCTTTTCAGTATAGTATCTAAATCAAGTTCTTCACTTTGCTTTTGCCGAGTCATACGTGTAGCTAATGACTTATCATTAATTGTCAAACTTTTCATCGCTTTTGGATTTGATTTTTGTATTATAGGAAGAGACATTTTACCATTATTGCATTTAAAAATGTTAATTTTTTCACAAATTTCTTGTTTCTTCTTTAATAATTTATCATATTTACAGTTTATGGTAGTTATTTCATTACTAAATGAAGATTCAATAGATAAATCTTGATATTTTTTCTGTTAATTAGAAATTAATATTTTTTATGAAACAGGTTTTTGATATTATTATATTATTAACTTTAGGTTCCCAAATTATGTTTTGTTTATTGAAGTACAATGGAATTTATAGTTGAATTAATTGAAAATCTATGTACTAAAATACCTATGAGAGTTTGAATTGATATATCTATTAAAAATAATATATGTATATACCATAATTTGTTTTTGGTCTGTATCCAAATACTGTCGTATTTTAATAATGTTTCCAAGAACATTTTTTAACAATTTATTTTTCTGATTATTTGATCTTAATAAGTCAGTCACTATATTTTGTTGTGAGCAAATTTTATCCTGAAATAAAAACATTTTTAACACAGTATCTATATATCTGAAATGAATATTCTTAAATTTAGTACAATACTTCTAATATTCTCAATTCTTGAATAAAACGTTTCTTTGTATCTTTGGCGTCAGTTTTAGATTTAATTATCATGTGATTGATTATAGTCATATCCATTTGGTCTAAAAATTTCCAATCCATTTCAGTTTTAAATTTCTTAACCATTTCATCTTTAATAGCTATTTTAATATTTTTTAAAATATTCTCCATTTTAGCTATTTCAATGCGATCCTTTTTTGCACATAACTTTTCTTTTTTTAAAGTACTAATTATTTCTTTTTCCTCTTTTTTTAACTCCAATGATCGATTTGATAAATCTTGTAAAACATTTCCATATAATAAGATACTATTTTTCAATGATTTAGCTTTGGAGATTTGAGATTTATTTAATACAATTGTGGTATAAATATCATTTAGTTTTAATTGCTTTTTTATCTGTAAAATTCAAACAATCGTAAAAATCAATAAGCAAACCATTATAAATAAAAAATTAAAATTATATTTTTAAAAATCATTTAACATAACTCTTATATCTACAGGGTAAAAATCAGACCCTTGAAAATTGAAAGGTTGGTGGACATTAATAATTATTACTAATCAAACTGGTGAGAATTGATTACCATCTATACATGAGAATTACTGTATCATTTTATATATTTGATATTGAAGGAGGTATGTATTTAAAATATTGTTTTACTTGATAATAATAGTAAATTACATTTCTAATTTCTATGATGTGATACAATTGCTGAGGTAATGTATTAAAATATTAAAAATTTGATCATACCAAAAAAATTATGTACAATTATAATATTATAACATAAATGTCCAATAGATAATTATTTTGGATTTTCTTTAATTGTTGAAACTATACTGGTTTTCTTTGCACTTAAATATAAATAGGTAGTTACGTCAACTATTTTACTGGGAAGGTCATAGGTATTTATTCTTTTAGGAAATATGAGTAGGTACGATTAATGAGTTATATAGACTAATAGATAGACACATAGATCTAAAGTTACTAATAATTATTTAAGTAAAATTTTAACCCGACATTCTTCTAGCTCATTTTGAATTTCTTTTATCTCAATTTCTATGACATCAAGTTCGTCGAAAGTTAAAACTAGCTGTGCGTTAGCAATGTCCAATTTTTTTTTGTTAACCTCTATGATTTGTTCGATTTCATATTTTTTTGACCTCAACTCTAATGTTATATCAAGTAATTTAGGATCACACCCTAATGGTAATCCTTTTTCATCAAACGCTGGTACTCGATTCATTGCCATTAATGATTCACCACTTTCGTTATTAAATTCTTGATCAGATTCGTCACTTCCGTCGGATGATGACGATGAAAGGGCATCTACAATACGAATGTATGCATAAAATAATGATAGCTAATCTGGCTACGCGGGCAATGCAACTAAGAAACATAAATGATAAATTATGAAATGCATTACGTTACCATCGGCATAATCAGATTTATTTTTGGGTATTTTCAATTTCTTATCAAAAAGTTTTTTAAAATGTTTCGCAAAACCTTTATTTTCCATTTTCATACACATTTCAAAAGTATTTTGGTTGTCTATTAGCATATTTGTTTTTTTTATATTAATGTCGTTATAATAATTGATGTCATCTTGAATTCTTTGTATCTATTAGTAGGTATTAAAATTGTTATTTAATAAATACTTTATTTATGGGTAGCTGTTGCCTGTTTGTTGAGACATATTACTTGTTGAGCTTTATCATTTTGTAATTCTGTTTTAACATGAACATTGTACAGAAGTTCATCTTCGAGTAAATCAAAATCGTATAACACTAACATTTCTTCTTCTAAAGTCGTAGCCCATAGTTCAAGAAATTTAATTTCAAGTTTCATTTCGATTCGCAGTTTAATCAATTTAAATAGATGTTCATCAAACATATCAATTTTTCTTAACATGGTTTCATGCAAATGCATATGTCTGTATTTTAATTTTTCAATTATCATTTTTTGCATGATGATTTCTCGACGAGTAGACTCTTCATAAAAATATGCATTTTTATACAAAGGGCTTTTTTCAGGTTTAAAAAATAAATCTATAGGATCCAAATAATCAATTGGTTCAAACGAATTAATTAAGCTCGGCTGAAATTAAATTATAATAAAAATAAGTAATTAGGTAATTATACGTATTTCTTGTATATGGGTATATATGCATAAAAAAAACTAAATTATACTATCACTGTAGTAGTAGTAATAGTAGTCAATTATTTTGACTTCTTTCATCATACTACTATAATAATTATAAGTAGGGTTAAGATTTTGATGCAAAGTCATCTTTTTTCTAGTGTTTCGAAACGTTGGTCGTAAGTATAAAATGTGTTTTGGGTGATATTGATTATTCTAAAGTAATTTTTTTTTTTTTGTATCTTTTTGTATTTTTTGACTAAATCAACCTTAAATGTATTATAGGACATTTTTTGATGATTTTAGTGTATTTTCTTGGTTTTAAAAAAAATTTTCACAATTTGTTCATAAAATGAACGAAAATCGTTGTGATTTACAAGAAACTTTCGACAAACTGCCAACGTCTACAAGTAACAAATTATATAACACGTCAAATTATCGTCGATAACAAATATTTTACCATAGATTGGCCTTTTCACTAATGATTAAGAAAAAACAGAAGATCAAGTAATAACGTACTAATTAATAAAAAAAAAAAAAAACAAATAAAAAAATACACTTCTATAATATCATTTTTAAATTTTTTTTTCTAATTTTTAAGCTATAATGAATAAATTTAAATTCATTTTTAAAGTGTATTTTTGAGTTTTTTAAGTTATTTTTTGAGATTTTTATATCGATAAATGATAATTGTATGAAAAACAAAAATAAATGTTGATTTTTGATGTAGATGGTAACCATAGAATTTTTACATTATAACCTATTCGCAATTATAGCTAAAAAAATTATGATTGATTGTAATAATGTACCTACTATTCAAACTCTGTGATGTAGTAAATTGTATAGTTACAATAAAGTGCATTTAATATTACTTTACTATAGTGTTATACAGTATATTTCTTACATCAATAGATTCGTGTATTAGGACTTCAGGGAAATCTGATGGAGTTATTATTTCTGGATCATTTAATTCCTTTTGTATATTATTAATATCAAATTTGAATTGAATGTATTCTTGTATTAATTTTATTTTTTGTGTTTTGAGTTCAAACACTTTTTCATTAAAAGTTGTTTTTAAATTGTGTATCTATTATAGTACCTACATAAATTATAAAAATCTATTTTCAACTATTTTAAATAATGGAAAATGAACCTTTTCTTTAACTTCCATATATTGTTCAAATGTATCTTCCATTAAAATTATTTTATTTTCATTGATTTTATAATTCGATTCAGATTTTAAGTTTAAATAACCAATTGAATCTAGAGTATTTTTTAGTAATGCTTCTTCTTCGATATTATTTTTATTATCTGGCTTATTTTTATTCATGTTATGAATATTAAGAATTATTCGATTTTCAAAATCTTTTCTTGCTGAAAACTTATCTATGGTAAACTGAATCTTTTTTGGTAAAGACGAATATAGTTTACGTACATTTTGAAGAAATAATTCTGATTCAGAAACCGCCTGCATGCTATGGGTAATTGTTTTGCTTAAAACTGTCATTTCACGTCTTCTACATAATTACAATAATAAAAATTATTAATTTAAATAAAGTTTAGATATTTAATCTAAAATAATTTAAATTTATTTTTGTTACCACTATAAAATTAAAACTGTAAAGACCTTAAAAAGTTTACGGCTATTATTTTCTCTATAGGCTTAGCTGTTGTAGTGTAATGTATAGATTTATTAGTTAGTATTTTATTATATCGTGTTTAAATATTAAGAAACTATTATTTACTTATCTAAACCAATTAACAATATAAGGTGTACAACCGATGAAAATGTATTACAATTCAAAATCCTTCGTGAGATTAAATAGAAAAGAAATAGTAGCAAAAAATATAATATTAAGTTTTTTTTTTGTGATATCATAACTGAAATTAATTACTTACCGTCGTTTTGGATGTTTCTTGGATAAAAATTCATTTACTAAACTAATAAATATATTATTATTTTCCGTTTTGTGGTATATCGTTTGAACTCCTGCATCTGTCCTGTAAGTATTATGTTTAAAATATAGGTATAAACAATAATAATATATAAAAAACATCCATACAAAATTGCTGTAACTTTAAACTTATTGGTTAAAACGTTATCGACGAAATAATTTTTGACATTTTTAAGAGCTAATAAACTCTTTTCATAATCGAACGCTAGTTTTAAATGTAATTTATTCATTTTAGATTGCTCTTCTTCAATAATTGAATTATTTATTCGTTCATCGATTTGAAAATAGTCGTCAGAAAACTGCAATGGTTCTGGTAGTAACTTGTTGCTGGCTAAAACTTGTTTTAAATCTTCTTTTAACTGTCTTAATAAACATCTTGTTTTTTCTTTTTCGAGATTAGTTAAGGTCAATGTTCTACGGGTTTTGTCCTGTATCATTTTGTCTTCCAAACATAAGTCTTTTATTTGATCTGATAAAGGATTTTGAAGTTTATTTTTCCATCTTTCATTGATAATTGTTTTGGATATGTGATGATCATTTGTTTTATGGTAAGACATTTTAGTAAATTAAAGTTGTATAACTTTTATATTAAATTTATCAATAGGTATAAGATTACCTGAGACAAGAAATAAATAGAATAATAAAAATTAACAATGCTTTTCTGTTGCTTAGTGAATAATTATAGCGTAAAATATATTAATTGTATCTATACGTCAATTATTTTCGATTTATTTTTTTCTTATTAACACATAATACTATAATAGTATCCATTGAAATACTAATAGTAATTTAATACTGGTAATACAAATTGATAGTCTTTTATATTACAAGATCATGGTTACACGGCGTTCTAGATAGGCAATTAAGTTATATAATAGTAATGGTTCTATTATTCCGGTATTATAATAATTATTATAATATTAATAAAAAAACAATGTTAGTGTGTGTGTTTGTAAGGATCTACGGACGAGTCTATCGTGTTCATCATTGATCTGGAATTTGGTACATTGGTAATCTGGAGATATGTACTTGGAAGTTAATTTTTTTAATTTTGTATTTTAAAAAGGATTCACATAGGATTTGTTGGCTTATGAAAAATATTTCATCATTTATTTATTTATTTTTTTTATTAGGGGTTTCTATTGGTTATAGTAAAAAAAAAAATATTTTAATAATATAATCATATATAATTTTGTACTTGTATTTTATACTTGATCAAAGTAACCCAAATAAGTATGTTAAAAATATGTATAGTGAACATTTAATTATTTAATGAAGTTTAAGAAAGGGTAAATCTACTGGCATTATTTAATTTTTCACGTGTAACGCCGTGCAGGATAATCTTTAGAATATAATTAATAAATTAATACTTAATATATGAAATCAAAAGCCTAAAACGGATCACTCTTCTGTAATTTCACAGTTTTTGACCGATTTTCATGAATCTTTCGTCAAATAGATACAGTAAAATTCATATTTTCATAGTCTACTTTATATTTTTCAATAGATAAATATTGAATATAATACAAAAATCTATCATTCATTTATATATTATAAATTATAATATATGTATATAATATATATATATATTATTGTCATTGTTTACAGAAAATAAAATAGTTATAAATTGTTATTTGTTGATTAGTTATAAATACTTCACAATTTTTTTTTTTGTGAACTCTAGATCTGTAAAACGGTCTATTGCCGAGTATAGTCTCAGTACGTCCTTGAATTATAATCATCGATTATAAATATTAGTATAGCATCATGGATTAAAGATTATAACAAGTGGTATAGATATAATTTACCATGGATTGTAATATTAATACTTTACTGTTTTAAATTAAATTAATATTGTCTATTCACCTCAGACTTCAGCATTCAATAGGTGCGATGGCACTACCATCATCACATGTACGTACTTTGAATTTTAAGTTGTAATAAAACAACCATAACCTGTAGTTATTGTATTAAACATAATTTTGGTAAGTAGTTTAAATTTTATAATTTACTTTATAGTTAACATTGTACGTTCAAATTATTTACCTCCTTGATCAACCTAATATAGTATAGTACCAGTAAAATACTTTTTTTTAAATATCTGGTAGTAACTTATAATATTATTTATTTTTAGAATATTTAAGGAATTATTAATGATTTTTATTTGAGATAATTTCAACCTTTTGATAAATTTAAATATTTCTTAATGAGGAAAAAATCAATGGCGATACAAAGCTATTAGCTAGATCTGTAAATTGTGTTTAAGTGTTTTATAAATGTGTAATAAATAATATATGTAGTAAAACAAAAAATCCGCTTAAATAATTTATTTAACTTAAATTTTTTTTTTTTTAAACCATAATATATTTTTTTAAATTGGCGCTTATAAGATAAGTCATAACTAACATATTTCATACATATTTTGTGAAAAAAACCTTAACAGTACGAGACCATTTCATCTATGATAAATGAAAATAAGCGTGTAAAACAAATTAACGTAAATTTTACCAGTACTATATATGGTTACATTTACATTTTTTCATGATTTGTCTATTAATACTTTTTTTGGTTTAGAAAGAGGGGTTGTTGAACACTAAACCTCCTCTGCAATCATGAAATCAAAACTAATAGGCACTGAGAAATGAACTAATATAATAAATAATTGTCTTGGAATATTATAATATAATATATTTAATTTAAAATCACTATAATTTCAATCTTGTCTACATTATCATTAACACTATACAAAAGCAATTTATATTATATCATCAATATTATATTAACTTAACAACTAGCGACTTTACACAATTAATACACACATAAAATAATAATAATAATAATAACATTAATTATTATTATATAATAATCATGGTTTAATTACAGATTTTTAGCTTACAATTAAATGAAATAAAATAATGTACCTATAGATAATGTTATAAATCCGAAGATTTGAATACGATAGTACTAGCAGTATTATAATATTAAATTATGTATACCCACACAACATGTATTATTATAGCATCTAAGTAGGGATGATAAACTTATGTTTCAGTATTATATCATATTATCCGATGATCTAATGCAAATAAAAACAATAATGTGAAGTAAAATTTTATGGCATAGAGTTAAATCGACGGAAATTAACGTGTATTACCTACCGTTACATACGAGTATTAATGACAATATTTAAAAACCAAAATATAATATACTTGTATTGTTATTTGTTATGCGTAGTAAATGAGCATGGTGGGTGGAGATTACTTTATATGAAACCTATTTTAAATTCCACAATATTGCGTGTGTGTTCAAGACACTTTTAATACCTATTTGATAACGAGTGGATCAGCCGTATACATACTTTAGTGTGGTTTGTGCCAGTGTGGTGTGTATCCTACATGTTAGGTTAAACCCCCATCGCTTTTGTGATTTCATGGGTACTTTGAACAACTTAAATTAAATACTTATAACGTATCAGAGTTGTGAAGGGGTTGAAAAAACAAATTCAATTCGGATCGGTGGTTTAAAATCACCACCCGTACACTATACACTACTAGTTAGTAGTTACCGATGACAACGAATGAATGCGAAAAGTAAGCCTGCCGTTTTTAAATGAGCAGGTTCTGATAATTATTTTGATGTTAATAAGTAAAGTGGTCTTTATTGTTTCACCGGGTAAAACTATTCGTCAAAACATTTTGGAAACCGTTTATTTTAATTTTAAAGTAACTAATTTAATAAGTGCCTTGCGACAAAACTGAAAATTTATTTAAAATATATGAGTTAAATTAAACTAGTAAGTTTATCTTCGTTAAAATCATTTCTTTTATGGTTATGTAAATTTTTAAAAATTATAATTTAATTGAACATGTTTTATTTGAGTGTGTTTTAAAATGTTAAAATATAATTGATTTGTGATTTTTTTATGAATTAAAATTATTTACTTTATTATTTGTTTATCAAATATTTTTGTAAAATGCAACTATAACTTACTTATTACAATAATTATTAATTATTAATGTTTGACTTTAACCTAACACCTAATTGACGGTCATATTATTTTCATTTTTTCGAATAAGCCAATTAATAAAATTAATTTCTGTTAATTATAATATGCAATAATTTTTATTCTTATATTTTTCACTATTAAACGGTTCCCTAACAATATTTAGTGTAAACGTATTTTTATTTTAAATAAAATTTATTGGCTATAGGCATTTAACAATATATTGTTTTATCGTTTTTGGCAAAAACGCACCATACTCATACATACATAATATTATCGATAGCTAGACAGATGATGATGATAGTATGTTGTTGTTATTATTATTATTATTATTATTAATATTGATAATTATAATATTGTAACAATGGCTCAACGAAATAAGGCGAACTTCATATACGTATACTTATATATATATATTATATTAAATTGGTATTACAAAATTACCGCATAACCATAACTATATACTATCACATGTTATAAGTATGATAATAATAATTATAAAAAAAAAAAATACGATGAATAAACGAATGAAGATCTATGTACGTTTTTAGAGTTTTGAGTTTTTCATTTATACGATACACAGAATGTACCGCATTAAGTATTATTGGCATTATATTGTACTTATCTATACAGGCTTTAATTTATTATAATATAATATGTGTAATGGGTGTATTAATTAAAGTCTACGATATGGCGCGGTAGACTTTATTAAATGATATTAAATAGGAGAACATCCCGCGAAGAAATTTTACAAAGAGAATCGAAGAACACAATATATATTTAGTTTACAACATTATAATATGATTATAATAAGTAGGTAGATAACGTATGGGTTGACTATATTAACAAGGATGAAATGTGTCTATTATTATAATATGATTTTTCCCTTACATTATTATAACATATTATGTGTTATATATATTACATAAACAAAATTGTTGAGCAATTATTTATTTTGTTTGTAACTTAAAAATACAAGAAAAACTATCTAAGCCCTAAATAATATGTAAAAAAAAAAAAACAAAAAACCAATAATATATTACACAATGGACAATTTTTCACATATTTCATGGGTCTAATAAATAAAAGTAGTATACTACATATAAAATACATATTTATATGATAATGTTTTTACAGTTGTATACCTATCACTAAGTATAATATACGAGTACCTACATAATTTTGATTTTAGATTTTTTAATTGATTAATTAAATTACTACAATAGTTTGAAATCAGTGTTTTAATGTCGATAACCACCAGCTATACAGTTAAGTACCTAATAGTATGAGGTGCCGGTAAAATCGTTGAGATTTATATTCTACATGATCGTAGTACTCGACGTAGGTAGGTATAATTTAATTAAAAATTGGTAACCATGTGAGATAACATATCACCAGGTGGTTTTAAAATTATTTTTTGTATTTTGGCACTTGTTTTGCAAAAATGTAATTATTAAAATCAATTGTGTGCGTTGCGGGGTATGGATATTGTTATCAACATTTAATATTTAATCGTGTTGACAGGACAATGTTTTCGAAAAAAAAATAAATTGAATATAATAATGTTTTAGCTATTTTAGTAAATTTTGATTTAGTTGTAAAATATTTGAATGTGTGTGTGCGTGTTACGACGTGATTGATGCGCAAAACACAAATTTAGAATAATAACACACAATATACCTAGTTTAAAAAATCGTGTCAGTCATAAAAATAACTCGACGTGGGTTTTTGGTTGTGCAAACAAAGTTAAGTAATGATTAAATCTCATAAGTTATGACTAAAATACGCCACACGCAGGTATTAAATTACATTTTACTACACAAACTTGAATATTTGTTTAGATGAGAGATGTAATTAATCTGGCTTTGAAGTTCACTATTCGTTCGGTGGTCTGGGCCAATCTCTGAAAAGAAAAAAAACACATGACGACGGTTGTTAATTATATAGCTATTTATGTAAAGTGCTCGTACAATAATGTAAGTACGCGTACATAAATTACATTATCCCTAACAAGTAACAAACGTACCTACCTATTGTGGTCGGACATTTTATTTTGTTATTATTATAATATTAGTATCGCGTTTTGCCTTATTATTTCGATCGCATCGGGCCTTTGTGATATAAATTTAAGTACTTTCGAACATAATAAAATAATAAAATGTGTTCGATAAGCACACGTTTTATAAATAGGTAGGTGTTATAATATATTGCGTATCGAACGTACATTCAACACTATCGAAAATTTTATATTCTATTAGGGAATGAGCTAAAGATTAAAATGGTTTCTAAAAAAATCGAAACTGAACAAGTTTTTGAATTATTCTACGAAGTACGCTTTGTAACCTTTTGAGAATTTCAATGCGTAAAAATTGAATATTGAAACTTACCGTATTTGATTAGTTATGAGGGTTATATGCTTTTAACAAGTATTTAAAATTTAGTTTACAAGAATGTGGAGTAGTGTAGCACTGGGATAGTGAAAAATGCTGACGCATTATTTTGCTCATCCAAACTAAATATTTACGAGGATATAATTACTGGTTTAAAATTCGAGTAATCTGACATTCTATATTATAGTAGGTACATCGAAATAATCGGAGAATTATTTTGCTTTAAAATGAATGAAATAAAAAACTGAACAATTTTAACAGTAAAAAATAATTATTACAATTTTTTAAAATTTTGTGCTATAACAACTTCTATTTGGTGATAAGAGAATCACATTCTATGTAATTTGTACAATATTACCATATGAGATAGCGGAGGATTTAAAAAAAAAAACCTTTAAACTTCATAACTTACCAGTATCAAGTCTTGGACCAAATTGGCAACGCCTCTGTTAGCGATCACGAATATTCTCGTCAGTGGCCCGGGCACACCGACGCTGTAACCGTCTTCCTTGGCATTCACATCCGCGTGCACCTCCTGGGCTTCACCTTCGGCCGGCACCGAGTCGGTCGACTCGTCTTTGTCTTGATTGGCGCCGCTCCCTGCTATCAACTGTCGTGGGACCAAACACATAGAGAAATGGATAATAGTGGGTATTTCTCGGTAATAATATAATAATAAACATTGCTAAGTATAATAATAATTAAAATATTTATTAATATAGCGTACATTTTGTTTTAGTTATTGTGTTTTGTATTTTGTTCTTTTTTTTTGCAATGAAATTATTTTATTCCTGTGTGATTTTGGTCAGAAATTCGATTGGAGTAGGTACACTGTACGGCAAGGTTTTATGTTGTAATCAATCAAAAATGTCGACAATTCGGTATTATAACATAATATCTATTATAGTGAAATTCTCGTCGTAAATTTGGTTGATAGACCACCCTCAACTCTTATAGATTTATGATAATAATATATTCGTAAAATATCTATTGTGAAATTTATTTGAATTGTACATAGTGCGTGTACGATTAACAAAACTCTGAAATGTATGGTTATTATTTATTATTATGAATGAATAACGCAAGACGTGATAAGTATGCATTGAGATATATGCTTATAAGTACTTGATATTACGAATATAATTTTAAAATTGTTTTAAACATATTTAAGTTATTTAAGAAACTGATAATAATTTAAAACAGATGGCTATAGATTTTTATTTATATATTGGACTAAAATCTAAATTTTTTTTAAAAATTTTGAATAGTTTTGAATAGGTATGGAATATTATGTATACATTTGCAATATAAATTATTAATGAAGTGTATAATATAGGAAAATTAGAGTTGAGAGTGTCTGTGTGACACAGCTATTAGGTACATTGTTAAATTATGTGAAAACATTTTCAGATAATATTTTGATTCAATATTGTGTAAAACTCTATTGTTTTAATAATATGTATAATTTTTAATGTTTGAATGACTTACAAATTAGATGTGTAGATTGCCATGTACTCATTAGATATTTTTTATAGTGTATGGTATATTTTTTCTCAAGTTAAAAAATAAAATTAACAGTTTAAGTAAATTTTAAAGATTTAAATGTTTATTTATTTGTATGGTTGAAGTGAAATTAAACATTATTACAGTAAGTTTATTGATTTTGTCAGATATTAAGAGGAAAAAGTGCGAAAGTCCACTCCGTGTTACTAGACAATATATTTTTAAAATAACTATCATTTTTTTGCCGAAATTATTGTTATTTATGTTTAAATTCATTGTTCAAAAAAGAAAAAAAATTCAGTTGTGTGTACACACCCAACTGAATTTACATTGTCATTCAAACAAATACGTGAAGTTATACAGTTTTGTCAAATTTATATTAATAGTGTTACAAGTAGTAAACTGTTTTATATTGTTGTTTAACATAAAACCAGATGTATCCGATGTAGGTGTATAATAATATACATATATATATATATATTTATACGATTTGATATTGGCAAGTGTGACTCGTTATTTAGACGCACTAACGAACGATGACAATTTATGTCACGAATTACACTGGGTTGTTACATAATAGTGGTTAGTGAAAGTAGAAGTGATCACTTGACATCCATCATACACCCAACGAGTTTATATTTTTCAATAAAACGACAATTTATAAAGTTTAAATCATTATTTATATCTTATATTAACCACAGTGCATCATCATTTTATAACAACATGTGTTGTACCTAATCAATTTTTTGTGTGATAAATCGTGTTTTATTACATTATATATTATTATTAGAACGGAGTGATAATGCGCACTGTACAGCGTTGTCTTTATTTTTTACGATGAATTTTGTTTTTTAACTTTGGGAGCTACATATTAAAAAAAAAAATCTAAAAAAAAAAAAATGTTTGACTAGGAATTAAGTTATTTACCGATGGATATTGAAGAGGCTGTGCGAGTGTTAATGTGTTTGGGTCGGTGCCTGCAACCACTCTGTAGAAACCACCGGCAGCCCTAGCTGCTCTGTCCGCTCCCCTCTATTGAAAACCAAAAAATCTTTTTTTGCCTCAAACCATATTTTTTTAAGACCTTTTCTTTTATCTTAAGAAAAAAACCCTTTGTTGACCGCGTTGTATAAAAATTCATTTTTCGAACATACTATAAGAATATTAGTCGAAGCAAACTATTCAATTATGGATTGGTACTTGAAAAAAAAAACTAGTGCATTGATTTGTTTTTTTTTTCCAAATTAAACACATGAAACGATTTACTCAATTTTATTCACGAAATGACTTTTGTTCAATTATGTGAACACATAATAAGCGCTAATTAATTTAATTTGTATCGAGGTCGACAAAGGGTTTGGATAACATTTCAATCGACGAGAGCAAACTAAATCATAATGGTACAAAATTCCCTAACTATATTACATAATTATGTACATCTCCCCCCAGTGACCAACTACGATGACCAGAACGATAACTGAATCATAGCTTGCGGTTGTAATACTTCAATATATTATGTATTGGTGCTATGGGGTGATTCAAAATGACCGTTTAAGTAATACTTGTATAGTATTTTAGAATTTATCACCTCCGATTACTAAACTAATTATTTGTGCAATATATGGGTCAGCATTTTTAGGTCTTAAAATTTAATTGATTTTAGTGATTTTATACATTTTTTATAATGCCTTTCACTAATAAACGCGATGGAAATATTGAATTACTGTACTTTCATCATTTTATGATATTGCACTGTTACGTTCCTACTAAAAGTTATATTATTTTAAATTTAAATTAACGCACGTTTGAAATTTTAATTAATTAATTTGTTTTGAAATATCCTCGAAATAGTAAATGCAATTGCATCTATCAGTTTGACACGTATAACAATTAATCATAATTCAGAAGTTGAAATTTTTAAATTTTTGATTTCTGTTTGCGTCACTAAAATAAATAAATTGATGAATTATGTACTGAAACTGTGTTTTGAAAGTATTATTAAAAAGTTTAAATAAATTTTAAATCATTATGCCATTGATAATAGTACATTTGTATGCACATAATTCAATTAGCTTGATGATAATAATGATTATAAAAAAGTAAATTAGGTATATTAATCCAAACATTTATTCTACTATTTTTTTGTTTTTATCTGGGGATAATTATTTTATAAAACAATTTATCATACAATTCTACATAAACATATAATAATAATATATATATATATATATATACAGATAAGTGCATGAAAAGTTATGAAATGATGCAGTAAATTTTGATATAGTGATATAATAGAATAAACTAATATTAAAATGGTGCAATATACTTTTATATTAGTGCACAGAAATGTAATAAAATATTATACATTTTTTTTTTTTATAGCGTTAGAAGTTATCTTTTTTATATTTTTTAACTTATCATATAGCTTTCATAATTATTCGTGATCAATAAAAAATGTTGTTACTTCAATATAGTTCTCAGTCTGAGAGTTTATTTAAGCCAATCATTTGGTATATTATTTGAAATTTTTATCTACAAATCGGTTTACATTTTACTATTATACTGCAGCTGAAATTAACTTAACGGAGTTAACGCCTAAGAAATGCCAACAAAACATATGGTTTATTGTATAACTCGACCGTAAAACTGTTTCAAGCTTATATTTTATTGTAAAAAAATGCAATTGACAGGTTTCAAGTAAAAGTTGTTCTATATGTAGGTATTTTAAACAAATGAAACACGATATCTTATTATTATAAAGTGGGCGTTTGGTTTTCTTAAGAATTCGTTAGAATATTGGCCTTGTTAGATGGCCGGTGAATGTTTTTCATAAGACGTATGATAATAATCTATAATAATAAATGGGTAATACTGTTCTGGCACTTATTTAATTAGCGGTTGAACCACCGCAATTTTTATCACCGCAATTTACTGGTAAATTTAAATTATTGTTATTTGCACAATCAAAATGTGGAATCTACAGAATTGAATACCGTAACACCACCAGAGACGCATTGAATAATGTTTGCAGCGCAAAACGTCACCAAAATCAGCTCGGAGATTTAGTGATAATAGGTTAATGTGTGTGGAATATTACGTTATTTCAAAAAAATTGTGCTTTTCGATAATGGTGCGTTCATAGCACATAAATATTAGGTACAATATTAGGTTCCAAAGCTCACAGTTGACGATCTTTTTTTTTTTTTTTTATACACCGATCAGCAGGGGCGAACTGTTTGCTTTCGCGACACATTACTTGCCCCAGTTGACGATCTGATACGTCGTTTCGTTTGATGTTCCATGGGTACCTGTAGTAGGTACGAACGAGTTGTAAATTTGTAAATTAAGTTAATCATAAGCGTTAGATATCACTGTATTTTAGCATATAATTTTACATATAACATTGCAGTCGGGATGTTTTGGGATTACACGGGATTATACAATCACGCGTATTTTAATTTTTAACGTCAAATTATACATGTAAATAGTAAGTGTATGAATGTGAATGTTGCTATTAGGAAGTTATGGTAAAAATCGTGGTCTTAAGCGTTCAAGAATTGCTTAAAATACGTAGTGTGTTGTACAATAAATGTACAATATTAAATTAGGCTGTGTGTTACTATTGTGTCTCAAAACAATATTGATAAGAATCTCAAATTGCGACAAGTGAGCATAACTCTTCTATTTTATTTTTATGAAATTTAACTAAAAATATATTAATTAATACAACTAAATTTGATTAATTAAAACTATTTTTAATATGAAAAAAATATATAAATACATACATATTGTTTAAAAATATTTATTTTATTCGTTTATAAATTATAAGGATTCGTTATTAGGTTTATAGATACCTTATAAGTTTTAATTATTTTTTTGAGGATTAACGGTTGTTGGTAGGGAAAATTAGGAGAAACGTTAATTTTTTCAAGTCTAATGCAATTTCATTGTATTTAAAATAGATGATCGTTAAATCGTGTCCGAACACTGATCTGCTAGTGCAATAGTTATTGGTTTTTATCAATTAGGAACACAAGTAGTAGGTATTGGTATACAGTGTTGTATCAAACATAAATGGGTAATAAGTATTTTTTTCATTTCGAGTCGTAGATGAGATGCTATTTTAATAAATTAGGTATATAAACAGTTGGTTGTATTTTTACGGTTCCTCGGCGAAATCGAAAAAGGTAAAAAAGTAGGTAACGTACACGACATATGAAAAGAGAATCACGTGTATATATTAATTGAGTACACTCACTCGGATCAGGTCGAATAAAAAGTTGCCAGATCCACCGCCGGCTCCTCCTCGCAGATTGAACAAGAACCGTTTGTTCCTTGGGTCTTCGTCCGCGACCGTCTCTGCTTGGGCATCATCTTCGGCGTTCGACGACAAAGCGTTGTCGGATGACACTTCGTTATCTAAAACAAAACATCATACCAGCCCGTTATATTATTATTTTTCTTTCTGCAAACACAGAAGGGATACAATATCTCGTGTGACCGTCAATGCCCAAGAGCCACGCACCTTTAAGCACACATATACCATAATACATGTTTTATACATATATTTATACATATTATACACGGAATAATGCCACCACTGTACCTTTTGACAATTTATTTATTATAATATTCTTTTTACAAAAATGCTAGAGGGAAAATCAGCGAGGGCGCTGAATTACTGTCGTTTTAACAAAGTGCACAGGTGGGCGTAAATGTATATCGTGATATTATGTACGCCACAATATTATAATATTTATAGTATCCAGTAGGTGATAATAGTTACAATAATAAGGGTGCTATACATAAAATACTCACGACGTGAGCGTGTGTCGAGTGCAACAGCGGTTGATGATTTAAGTACGATACTTATGGTCTTCGGTGTCGATATTGCAAACCAACGCGCGTAATAGATGCGACAACATTGCACAACCTTACGTGTATTGTGTGCGCATAGAACGACCCAAAGATACAATATATTAATTATAATATATCAATGTCACAAGGACGCTTGCAGTTTATATAGAAAAGGGGATGATTCGTAGTATTTTGGAAAACGTTTTTACCGAATGAATTGGTTCGACCGACTTGAGAATTGGTGACTAACGGCTGCAAGCGTCCTTAGACATCATTATATTATTATAATAGGTAGGTTCAATTAAATGACTCGACGAAGTAGCCGACAGTCATGGTTGTGTACAATCGACCATATTCAAATCGAACGATGATTATATTATATTATATAAATAATAACGATAATTAATCCCTTAAAACGACCCTTAACAACGTCGTGTACGACTTTTATAAGTCAATCCCCTAGGGCAGTTCGATTTGTCGATGGTCGACTGTATCATACACTGGGTGTTATTGTACATTATCCAGATAAAGATATATTATTCTTTATACATACTATTATTGTTACAATGTATAATATTATTATTTTCTAAGCATATTTTTTCTAGTTAGAAGATTAAATCAAATAAAGAATATGTAAAGTAAACAATTTAATGCGCTTAAATCTATTTAATATATAATCAGAAACGTTGTATGTGTACAACGAGTACACAATACTCGTGTTATGTTATAAACACAACGTTTTCGATTTCTAAAAAATAACAAGTGTAAATTCTAGATTTACTAATAATACTATGCTAATATATTATACAGGCATAAGGTGTGTGGGTGTACAATAGATGTTTTTTTTTCTATAACTTATTGAAAATGGTAGCCTGCAGTACCAATCGTAATGTTAAATTTTTATTAAAATTCGATTTCCAGCAATTACATAGCCTGCAGACGACATACCGTTGAGGTTTTGAATAAAGTCTGATTAATTATGGTGTAATTAAATTTGCAAGAAAATCGAACTTAATACCATGCCCGCAGTTACTCTAGAACATGTCATAATATAATTTCTAATATTATTGTGTACGTCTAATAGCGTTAAATTATTTGGCCATAAATTGGTTTACCAGTTGACCAAAAGTCATTCGGTTGATGAAAAGAAATGTGACCCGAATTAAATTTAGCCAGCTAAGCAACCGCGTCATTGAAGCGATTTGAATGGTTTAACTCAGACAATACGTATCGTATCATATTATTATTATTACTATTATCATAACCGTGTTGCTTTTGCCGGTCGTGTAACATAATGTATCATAACAGACTACTACTGCAGAATATGACTACAGTAATTGGTTTCCAACGAAAACAATATGAATAGAAATTATTTTAATCCAACGAGTAACTGCGTTTTAGGTTCATTCCAAATAGTGATTTCAACATCACAAAATATATTGTAAGTTTAAAATTAAAAGTTTAATATAAATAATAATAATATAAAGGTACCTACTCCAAAGAAAAACAATAAAATGTATAAATTGTATCGGTTTCTTATGTATACATTATATTATAATATTACAATAAAGTATTAAAATATATGGTACAGAGTATTACCAAACTAACGAGAGTGTAGCCCTTATTCCACGTGCAATATTAAAAAATAAATGAAAGAAAAAAAATGATATCATACATAAATTAACTTTATTACAATATTAATGTTCACACATAAAAATAAATAGTCAAAAAATAATATACTAATTACCAATCACCTAATTAATTATTGAAATAAATAATAAAAAAAAATAAATTATCAACATTATGATATAATATTATAATTGTAATATTATACTTATTTCCATCATATTTTACCAGTGTCTGTGAGCGGTGACCGTTTATTCGTCGAGCTCGAATTATCCGTCGACACATCTCTCGCCGTCCTCTTTACGATACCGGTGCCGACAGTGTTTTCCGAGTCCAATGGCTATAACAATTTAATAACAGTGATGAAAATGTTAGTGAAAATCTTGTCATAATACAAACTTTTATCGCATGCAGTTATGTAATATTATTGTACATTATTATTATATAATTAACCATAAACCATATGTAAGTAAACAATAAATGCTGTGCTAACCAACGTCGGTGATCCTACGTATTAAACGAGAATGAAGATTTATTGTGATCATAATTTATAATTATGATTGTTCTAAGACTGTTCTGAAGCTAAGATAATTGTATGCGTATTTTACATTAATTATCAATTTACCATTACTACAAAACTCATACAAAATACGAAAAAAAAATGTTTATTTATTGTTTGAAAATACAATTTTTACTCGTAATTTTAGACATTTTTAGAAAAATTATCTGCTTGGAAAGACCAAATTAAAAATGTAAAAATAGTAAAAATATTGTTTCATAAATGTTGAAATAAATAAAAGTTTATCTTTAAAAGAATCACTTTGAATATTTATTCGACATTAATTTAACCCTTTCGACTATTAAACCGTGCTTTCTTGTACAAGTTTTGAATGTAAATTGATAATATTATGTATTTGCAAACCAAACCGCGCTATCAGTAGGTTACAGGTAAATAACCATTATAGAGAAAGATAATGTGATGTCATCTGGAATTATACAACATATCACATACCATGCTTATACCGTACCTACTTATATGTTGTCATATATATAAGCAAGAAATGCCAAGAAAAATATATCATCTAAATAATAAAAAGTAAAAATATAATTCTCGCCGATGAAGTTTGCATCATTCTATTTGATGTTTAAACACCTGTAATTAAACCATTAATGAGGTGCAACTCTGTAATCGTTTTTCCACAAAAATAATTAACGTAATAAGCTCTCTACAAAAACGTTATCCGTAAAATGATTATAATATAATTATTAAAAGCAAACGATCGTGTTAAAATGTTATATCTGCGCGCCATATACATTAAAACAGTATCGCGTTTAGTTATAGATGGTTCATACAATAGTATTACTTTAAAATACACTTAAACAAATCATTTCCAAGAAAGTTAAGAAATCGATCTTTAGAGTTGTAATGTGTTATGCACTGCAACGCAGAGCTCTATACGACTATACGACTATTGATTATTAATTAATCAGTAAGGAACATCTTCCCTTAATCGATACATAATCCAAAATTGAAATTTATCACTGGTCTCTTTGATATTGACTTTCTAAAGCTTTTATTCCTACATTTCTTTTAATGTCTTTTCTCGTTCCTCTCACTCTAATTTAACTTTTTTCATTCAAACATGCTCGACTAACGATTTATGTTTAACGAACCCTTACGTAGTCTAATGCGAAGCCTTCGTTTTCGTTTGAAATTTATACTTATAATGGCTATACTCACAACTTGTTTAGGTTTCTTCTAATGAATTTATATAGTTAATTGTTTTTATGTAATTATATGATTAGTAATATTAAGATATACTACACCATAATATGTTATCCAAAGGCCTTGCCCGTGTATAAAATAAATGAATTTCATATTATTCATGTACTCGTACCATGCAATTTGCATGCACACACAGTACACGTACATGATGTTTTAGTCGTAGAATAGAATAGATATCAATATACACTATTGCATCGTATTAGGTTTATGTTTCACTTCGATGGAGATACGATCGTCAGTGGTTTATAATGACAATATTGTTAATCGTCTTAAAACGGTTTAGTACTTTTAATGATATTAGTTAACGACCCTTAAACGCATAGGTACACTTAGAAAAACGCAAATTTTTACAAGCTATATTATAGTAATCACTACTGCGAGATTAAAAACAATACAAAACATTATATTATTACACAAAAAGCAAATTAAAATAACAACAGCAACAACAACAACAACAACGATGTCGCGAGTATACATAATATAATTAACGATAATATAATACTAATACCGATTATGTTGGCACAACGAAAGGGGGAATAATAATAGTTATCACTGATTAGTAGATACGTTGAATTTTTAGAAAACAGATGAAAACAGATGTGTTTTCTACGCGATGATAATAAAATGACATAATGATAGTCATATGTGATAACAATTGTAGATTTATCTCAATCGGTACAATTTTTTCCGTTTTAAAACAATCGTTTTCCCGTTGCCTCCTTAAACGATTACAGTGTACGTCTTTACCTATGTGTACATTTTGACAAACCACTAGGGTCATTTTTATTATAGTAATTATTTAAAACATTGTTCGTATGGATATTGCTTGTTAATGATTCTAAAAGTATTTTCCGGAAAAATAAGAATCATAAAAACCGCTATAATGATAACTTCGCTATTATATTGTTAGTGGTTATTATTATCTAATGTCCGGTACACGATAATAACATTATGTCCAAACAGGCCACGATCTTGGGTCTATAAATTTAATTATTATACAGTGTATTTTTTTTTTAATGCGAAAGATCAACGATATCGTTACAAATATATATTCTTATTTTATTTTTATAAAGTAATAATAACTTTTAACTTCTTATTATTTTATATTAGTTGTAATTTATATTTTGTATTACCCTCCTTGATTTGTAAAAAAAAAATTGATTATTTATTTACAAACGGCAAAATAATTTTAAAATCTAAACAATATTGATTTAAAACTGTTGATTTAGGCACATAAATAATGATTTTTAACATGATTATAATTTATGATAATTTAAAATCAAAATAAAAGATCATCGTTTAAAAATTAAAAAAAAAAAAAGGAAACGCTCAATTGTAAAAGGCAATAGCGCTTTGAAAAACAAATACAATTAAATAGTATGTGAATAAAAGATGGTTCTAATATAACAGAACAGATAACTAATATTTCAATAGTGATTAGATGATTTACGTTAAAAAATCATCCTGCGTATAACATTTACAGGTAATGTTAGAGCAGTATACTAAAGTTGAATGTAGCACGAAATATTATATTTATAAAATGATATTCAGTTCTTGGTTATTGTTTTTTATTAGATAAGAGGCAATTGTTGTACAAATGTATGAAGATATTTAAATTTATAATACCATAGTTATCTTAGATAAATTATTTGGATACGGTTAATTTTTAAAATAATTTTCTTTTTTTGATTTTTACGTATGCTATATTTGTGTTAATGGATCGTGCAATCGCGTTGTTTGAATTACTTAAAATCACAGCGTACTTTTTAGTACAACTTTTTTATAACAATTTATTTATAAGCATCAATATAAACTTGTCCTCGTTTGTTGAGTATTACAAGTGAAAATCGATTAAAAATATTGCAGCTAAGTATAGTTATACGTACTACGTGCATAGCGCATACCAATAGTGTTAAAAATGGAATTTGTCTCCAAGACGTGTCCGGACAAGTAGGCAAGTATATAATGTCCTCGGCCTCATAAAAACGAAAATCTCGATCGCAATATTATTGTATTAAGTCATTCGGCACATGCATTTAGCAGTGCCTTAAAATATTTTGACGTGCACAAACTTACCACTAACCAGTCATCATTATATTATTATAAATTAAAATATACACGCAGCGATACACGAATCAGTGCGGAATTAAATCTCGGGAAGTCAAAGTTTAAAATAAACGGTGCGGATAATTTCTTAAAATACCTTTTTTCTCGATCATTATTCAATATTATTCTTAATGATAAATCATTTTACAAAGTTGAAAAATCTAGGGCATATACAAATCTCGGCCTTGAGGTTCCGGTGCCTTGCACTCCTTGCCTGCATCCCCACTAAATCCAGCATTCCCTCCATTACGGATACGCTAATATTGTTGTTGTTTTAACTAGCATTACATAGGTGTTATATTATGAATATTATCACGTTTAAAAATATTATCATGATAACGTTCTTAAAATAATTAAGATGATAATAATAATAATAATAATAATAATAATTATATTGTACTGCGGGTTATAACATGCACCGACACGGGCCGTCCTCGGGATTCTCGGGATTTACCATTTGAGTGGTTGGCGAGCTTGTCGTGATTGCGTTGACGGTGGTGGTTGCAGCTGCGGCAATAGCGGCGGCTACTGTGGTAGTGGTTGTTCCGGCGGCCGGTGCGGCGTTGGCGACCGGGGCGGCTGCTGCTTCGGCGGCGGCGGGGGCGGCGGCGGTGGTGGTTTCCGGGGCAGAGGTGGTGGCCGGGACGACGGTGGTGACGGCCACTTCGACGGCCGAGTTGGCCGCTACAGCCGAGTCTACGGACGCGGCCGACGAAGAGTCTATGGCGGCTATCTCGGGCGACGCCGGTTCCGCTATTCTTGAAGCCAACGCGTCAGCGTCCGATGCCGACGTGGGCGACGCGTTGGCCGCCGGAAGTTCCGTCTGCGATTCTTCGTCATCGTCGTCCGTGGACGGCGGGAACGTGGGCAACGTGATCGATATCCGCCGGCCGCCATTGCCACCGGCTTCACTTCCGGTACCGGCGGCTGCGGTGCCACCAGCGCCCGCGCCCGCGCCTGCACCACCACCGGCGCCTCGGAGCACCAGTCGGCCGATTATGCGGAATACGAATCGCGTGATTTGTTGGATTTTTTGGTCGACTATCTAGAAAAACAGGTGACACCCCAAACACACGTATACACTAGGGTTGATCCTCATGTAATTGTTGAAGTATAAAATAACTAATATTACTTATGTACGCTAAGAAGTTTCGTCGTTAGTCTTGTCAGTCTGTAAGTTTTTTTTTTTTTTTTAATTTCTCAGTGCGCATTCATTTTGTACGACGACGCTTAACCTGCCTTCCTCTGAATTCAATAACTATATTAGTATGATATGGTATATGTATGTAGTCGTAAATCCTCATTAGTCATTACTCATTACAAACATAAAATATGTTTAAGCGGCGGGAAAATGAACTATTACAGCGGGACACAGGCTCAATCACGCCACGGGATCGGTGATTTAGCCTATCTCACTCGACATTGTATGTTTATGTTTTATAAATAATAAATCAATTATATTAATCCGAAAATATTAATTATTCATATTATAAACCCCTTTGAAGTATTGTGTTCCGTCAAAAAATCTAAACATTTCAGTCAAACGTTTAGAACTGTATGTGTAAACGATAAACGTTCCGTTGATCCGTTTATAACTGCTCACTTCTAAATCATTAAAATTTGCGTGTAGATGCGTTAGCTACAAGAATTATGGTTGAGAATTCTCGTTGTTATAAAAGAAAATGGTGTCATGACTTACTATAGTAACATTTTATAGATGTAACTATGTAAGTGTTACTAATAAGTCAATATTTTTTACAAGATTAAAATATCAAAAAAATTAACAATTAACGAAATACTATCTTTATTGAAAAAAAAATAATACTTAGATCATCTATAACAATTAATAATAACAGAAAAAAAATCATTTTTTATGATATTAAAGTATATAAAAAAAAAAACGATTCTAAAAATGTTAAAACTTTTCAACTTAACAACCATGAATAAAGGTGACCTGTGTTTGATAATTTTTATAAAATAAATTTAAACATTTCGAATAGTGATATAAATTGATAAATAATTAAATAACCGTCTGTTATACAATAAATATAAATATTTTAAGTGATGACAATATGTATACTATACTGTACTATTTAATATATGCATTTGTGGTTCATATATAGATACATAAAAGTCAAAATTTAATTTTTATGTTATTTTAGAGCTGTTTATTCAATGAATTAGATATACAGAATGAAGTTATATGATGGCTACAGGAACTGGCATTCAAATTCACCGACAAGTTAAGCGGATAACTAACGTACCTATAATATTATAAAATAATAATGCTATCTACGTTCAAATAAAATTTCGTACAAATCATTTGGTATTGTTTTGTGCGATAACTTATACAATATTATCATGGCGCACACAACATGCAATAATAAAAATACTATTGGGCAGCGCAGTATACATAGAAGAGTCTCCAGAATGTATATAGGTTTATATTAACACACAACCTATATATTATAGTATAAGGTCCAGACGTGTCATTTTTTTGGAGGAGGGGGAGGGAGAAAGTTGAGTTTTATCAGTTAAGTTTATCTTAAAACTATTCGTGGTTTTCAAGTTTATCAGATAATATAACTTGTATAGCCTATAAGGAAATTCTGTTACAGAAAAAAATAAACAACAATAGAAAAGTATAGTGAACAATTTTATATTTTCTGTTACGTTCATAGAAGTATTTTTAGTTATACGATCACATTTTGGATAATTAATTTTATTGTGTAGGTATGAAAATTAATTTTAAAAACGCATTAAAATTGGTCGAAAAACCGAATGGTTGCCAGTATGTTGGAAAATTCACTTGGTATATTACGATGAAACCTGCAGGTATTATACACAGTCATCGTCGCGCTGAAGTGTTGTGTGTACAACAATATTATTATATATAATAAATCGAGTGGGTACACGATCGTTTAAGTCGAGTTTAAGTGGACATGAGCAACAATGCTTATTATTCTTTATAACTTTTGTCCGACACACGCGTAACATGAAAAGATATGCAATTATATTGTATACACTATACATATTACCTATTACTATTGATTAAACATATAAAATAAACGCTATTACTAGGTCTCATTATCATAAGCTTCTATCGGTTATACTCGTATGGGTAAAACGGCCAATACAGTGAATAGGTTAATGTTTCATATGAGATATATATTTATAATAGGTACAATCGTATCACGTTTAGTGTGTGTGCTTTTTTTCTTTACGACGCTTTGATATGAGCCTTCAATGAATCTATACCTATATTATATGTATTGATAAGCAATATACAAAAAGCTTCCATAAACTTTAAGTTTTCTCCCTTACGTACAGAGAATCAACAGCACGCTTAGATGAAAGTATACTGGATGCTTAAGTGTAAGGATTGAGTTGGAATGAAAAAAAGGATGAACTAAAAGAATTAAAAATATGAATAATTATATACACATTATATAGACAGGACTAGATTAAACTAATTAAATTACATTTTTAAAAGCTCCCGCTTTATTTATTATAGTTTATAATGTAGGCAATCACATAAATAAAAGTCTATCAGTATTTATTATAATATTTCGGTTTCAAAAAATATTATTAATGAAAACAGTATTATTTATTTAAAAAAAATATAATTAAATATTTATAGGCAATAACATAAATTTAGTATAATTTCAAAAAAGTATTTACTGCTATAAATCGGTAAATAATATAAGTTTTGTTAATATTTATGAAGATTATAGTTCATAAAGTATTCAACTTCTTTGTAATGAAATAATTAATATGAACAAAAAAGAATCTTTGCATAGTAGCATAAATTATAGAGTATTGGGAGAAGAGGACGCAGCTATCATAGCCATCACTACTGAATTCAAAAACCAGTAATAAAAATGAATTTAGCAAACAATTTTCAAAAATAGTGGCCAAACGGAGGTTATCTGGTATTCATTATATAGGCATCTAACTAAATATAATTAGTGTTTGAATGTGGAACCTAGTTTATCCGTTTGAATTTATTAAACGTTAATTATCTGGTCGGCGTCGAGTGTTTGAATTTTACACTCTACTGACTTTAGTAGCAAATAAATAATATTGCTCATATTTTTAATGATTATAATATGTAATAGGCTATTACTAATAGCCAACAGGTAATGTACCTATACCTTAATACTCGTGTACAAATTTAAATTTTAAAGAAGAAACCTCTATACTACATCACAGTCATTGTTTTTCTTTTGTACATAGGATCATATAAGTTTATTCATTCCAATTAATAACTATATAATATAAATAGGTTTCTCATAAATTATCATTAATTATTACTATGTTACGCATATAAAAATACAATGAATTACGTGAACGCTGTTATACCATTTCAATCCGTATGTGTAACTGCAATAATATTAATTATTATTTTAATAACAAAATTCTCAAACTATAAAAGTATAAATAGTTTGAAAATTCTCTATCAGCACTAAATCGCCGTATAATAATTATTTATTATGCGTATGTAATATTGACAAAAATTATTTAAGACAGAGTCAGAATTATGTTGAAGTTAAAGTTAAATATTCAAATTCGGATATACTTATGGAAATGTATAAACGTAGCGAACAAGTATGTATTATATAACATACAGCGATTATCTTGTAACTCTATCACAGTTCATTTCCCTGTAAACGTATGTGTTTATACTTTATATAATTTGAAATCTTGTATTATTTATTTTACAATGTATAGGAACATTAAAGAAAAATTGTTGAAGTGTGTTACTTTTTAATATTTTTGATTTAGCACGTGAAAAAATTACTGTACATAGTGATTAGAGAATCAAACTTGTATACATCGGGTACATAAAACACCAAAGGAAAAATATATGTACTACTCACTCTTCGAATGCGCCACAATACCTATACTTGTGTAGAAAGCCGACATCTGGTCAGAGTTGTAGTAAAGTACCATCTACGAACACTGATGGTTAATCGTTTTTATTTTATAGGTACATAAATATTATAGACGTAGTAGAAATATTTTCTCCAACATCGTCACATAAATGATTGTTGTTATCAGCACTGCTATTAAAGCGATGTTGTTTAAAGCGTTTTCGGCAACAACGAGTTGTATAAGTAGTAGTTGTTGGACAAGTATATTATTTTACCTATTTGCTAAGTACATTATAGTTTGTTTTGCTCACTTTGTATAATACTATTATAGGTACTATAAACTCGTGGTTAATCCAACCAACGAAACCGCTGAAATGTATTGTGTCATCATTGATCATTGTTGTTAATAAAAAAATAAGAAGTTTCAAATTGCAAGTCACCTTACTAATTGTGTGTAAGTGTGTGTACTTATTACGGTTATAAAATATTTCCATATTTTTTCATTTATTTATTGTTATAAATTTATAATCGTTGTCGTTGAAATGCTGTATTTTATTAGGTAATAAATTCACTATTATATAGATGTATTTTCTAAGCTTTTCAATGATTCGAAGAACGAAATCACTAACAATAAACGTAATATCAAAAATATATTTTTTATACATGACTCGAGAAGAAAGAAGGATTTTGTGTTTTTTTTTTTTCATATAGGTACTGAACTATTTTAAAAATTAATTAAATTTATGGGTTTATGCTAGGAATTCAAGTAGGTTAGGTTGTTGTCATAATTTTTAAAATCAATTCGTTTAATGATAAGGTCAAAAAACAAATTATCGAGTGACTATTGAAAAATCTTAAAGTATAACGAAATATTATAAACCTATAAACAACTTATTAAACGATACAATTATTGGTTTATAATAAGTGTTTTTAATTTGAAATAGTAAAATAGGTTAGGAAACAGTAGATTTATTTTTTTATTAAAAGAATAACTCAACAACAGTTGTCTGTTGGACGCGAAGTAATATAATATACTGATTTTAATCACTTTTGCTTTTTATGATTAGAAGAGGTAAGTAGCAAACTTTTTTTTTAATGTCATGGCTGTTCTTTAGAAATTAACACAGTACCCATATATATATATATTATTATTACTATTATTATGTTCCATGGACAGTTACATAAACTAAACTGGCTTCTGGTCATGTTCTTTTTAACAGATTTCAAAACGAAGTTTTATTTGTCCTTGTTGTTGTTATTACCGATATCTTAATATTGAATCAGAATTGCCGATCATAAAAAAGACAAATGGTTATTATAACGGTTTAACGTACGATTGACTAATACGGCACTTAGACGATTTGCGGTTAGCTGATATCCCAAATACGATGTAAAATAAAAACGGTTTTTAATAAAATAGACTTTATTGTTATTCTATTTTTTTTTTTAACAGCGCATAAAATATTTATGCCGTTTGAAAGAGATAGCTTGTTATTGACATTAATACATATATATTTACGATAGCATTTGTGCATGATTTTTTGTGCGTATTATCAATTATTGTTTCGTGAAAATTGCACATTTAAAAGTTTTTAAAGCGTAAAGCGAGCAGGTTTAACGTTGTATCTGATAAGTTACCAAGTTTAATGCGTAATGCGTGTTATACAAGTTATAGTAATATGTTTGTGTGTTTAACGAATTAATACGTAAGCTTTGTGCATTTGTTGAACAGTACAGTCGTGTAATAATAACTGCAAGTAGGTACCTACCTATGATAAAAACATTTAAATATAATCTGTATGATTCGAGAACATTAACATATTTTATGCCTATTATTTAGAGTGAATGCGAAATATTCGTCAAACGATCGCATTATTACTGTTTAAAATCATTATTATATTTAGCGTAAAAGCCACGCGTGTAGGCGGTAGTCATTAAGTATAAGTAGACACTTTGTTACTACCCAGTACCTAGTATTAAACAAAGCAATCCACAAGAGTGAATTAATTTCCATGTCCGAATCGCTAAAGCAAATTGTAGTAGGTTTGTATGACTGCATAGTATGTGTATTATAATTATTTACATAACCACTAAGATATGTCGTAAGAGTTTTAAAAAAATTGCATATTTAGGTGTACGTCATACTCGTATTATACTGGTTTTTGCTTAAAATGTGGTTGTCCTTTAACGAGAACACTCGAATATGTGTCTATCGATATAACCCACGAATATGTTTTTTGTCTACAGTTTGAATTCAAAGAACGAAACAGTTATATTAAATTGTATAGTAATAATTATTATACTCGATGTGCTGCAACACTCGTTTGTTCAATATTCAATGTCCATCCATAATATTACAAGCACCGTTCGTTAATATTACTGCAAAGTTATTGACGTGTGTTGATTCTACGCTATTCTGGTTTCTTTTACGAATTTTTACTTAACAAACAATATTCACACAATTTTTTCTTAAACGTATACAAATTTATCGAAACTTGTTCAATGCTATCGATAAAAATATGGATAAAACTTAATCTAACCTAAAAAAATTACATAGCCGATGCGTTTAAGGACACGCAGGTTTTTATTACTACGTATAATGAAATATTTGAAACGAAATATTAAGCGCAACCCGTTAAAACGAATCGTTCTATTTAAATGACGGAATATGAATAATATGTACAGAACGGATATAATGATATTATTAATTATATAAAAAACAAATTGAAAACTTAATTATTCAACACAGTTTTGAATATATAGGTCATGACGTGTTATGATATAATATCTACGTTTGATATTTTAATTTAATAATCGCAACATTTGGTACTTCGTTACGAATTAATTTGTGTAAACATTAATAACCTACATTTTCTATAACGAAATTACATCATCTAGTGTGTCTGTACTCGTAAATCCGGTATCGTAAAAGCTACACGAACGACAGATACGCTCTAGAGACTTTGTCAGCATTTCACATCGAGATAATAATACGAAAAATATTTCACAAAATTATTTCTTAATTGTTTGCGTATGGATTGAAATGCCGAGCTAATTATTTTCCTTGAAAATATGGGATAGGTACGTACTACATACGTATTATCGAAAACTCACTTATGATAGGTACCTATTGTCTTTTATTTAACGTCGATTGACTACATAATAATTACTAGAACGATTAATAGCGCATAAAAAGTGATTGTTATTGAGTTTGTTATAGGTTGTTGGTTTATATTATATCAGTGTAAAGAGTGTTGAATTTTACCTTAGATAGATTTGGGAATAGCTGCCTTAAGAAGCCGATCGTCCTTTTGTCTCTGACATTCTTATGACTAGAGTCTTCTGCTTCAACAGATAAAAATGCTTCTGATTCCTGTATAGGAAACAAAATTTTTATAAGATAACATATGAATATTTTTCATAAAAAAATTTTATTTAAAATACATCTTTAATTATTAGTATTACAAACGGCAGTTATAATAGATCCCTAATATCTCCCTAGATATTATCTTACTTATAACTAATAAGTAATCTATAAGTATAATCTAATAGATATTTTGTATTGCACTTCATATTTTTCTTGCCTACCACAAGTACAATAAAACAATGATAAATGAATGGTATTATGATGCGGGTAAGTTTAATGTCTTGTTAATGATGTAGGTATATAATTTTAAATGAAATAGATCATAAGACATGCTATATTATGGCTATATTATTAAAATGTATGTTTGATATATATGTTACGTATACCTACAGGCCATACACGCTAGCACACAGTTACAGAATATTATGAGATAGATTATACGGTTATTATTAAGAGGTGTAAAACTATTATGAAATACAAATGCTTTATTGATCAACTGTCGAGAGTAATTAAAATCGAATTGGCCTTAATCATACGTATACTCAAATCTCAATCAAGCGTTAATCGAAAACATATTACGTACGATTACGATTTTATTTATAAGCAGGCGTGTTAAAAAAAATTATCGTAAGCAAGCAATATTTAATTTTTATTTTAGAATGTGCCAATTTCAAGTATGCTGTAGGCAGAAAAAATTTTGTTATCTATATAAACTTTAATCGGTTAATTTTAAACATTAATGAAAACAAATCTGTTTGACGTTATTGTTTCTTGTGACACACTAAACAATATTATGATACACATTAATCATATTTAATACCCGCCTACTACTTGTAATGGGACTCAGAAATGAAAGTGCACTTAAAAAAAATTGTATTTTAGTTCCAAGTTCTTAATGTTAAGATTGCTTTAGCTATAAATGTATTTTTATAAAATATAATGGTTTTTACTTCTTGTTGACTGTTTATAGAATTATTGTACTACACTAAGACGTATAAGTAGGTAATATTTAAGCGAATATCTAAGATAATTTTCAATGATTATTTGTGTACCTATATCTATATAATATGCTATTATGTTTAAGTCATATTATGAGATTTCAATTTAGTTGGTTTATTTTTCAATTTTATAATTTATTCCTATATTATTAATAAATAATTAATCAATTAAATATTAGGTAATAAAACGTATTCATTAAAATCGTAAGTGTATATTTAAATCATATTCGAATATATTTGTAGTAGGTAAGTACTTTGCTGAGAACCATTGTAATATTTTTTTTTCCATTAGGTGTATTGCCATTATCTCAAGAGTTTTATACATCGTAGAACTCAAATTACAAAACTTTTATTTAATTCAATTACACATTTTTATTTAAAGATTTATGATTAAGTTTATTAAATGGAATGGTTGATTTAACATGTATCCACTTAATTTTATTTATCTAATTATATACCAAATAATTATATAGATTTATGGTAGAGGAAATTCAAATTATAACTTATAAAGTATCAATAAAGAAATTACAAATTTATTATGAAATCATATTTTTTTAAATTTAAAAATGTAAAATTGTAATGGATTTTATTCTTTTAAATTTCTAATTCCGTGTAAATGCAACATTTTTAAATTCTCTTGCGTATCTACATAGGTTTTTTTATGATTTATTTTATGCGCAATTAAATACATTTATACCTAATCGCTGTAGTGCAAACAATTAATAGTATTCTATCAAAACTTCAAAATAAATAGAAAGTTTAAAGTATACAATTTTGTTATTTTAAATTCTATTTACATGATAATAATTTGCCATCAAAAAAGTATTAACATTTTCTTTAAGCTAATATAAGTTTTTTCTACAGTGTTCAGACACCGAGGATAGTGAAACTGCAATAATACAGCTGTTTTATTTTACGTTTAGACGTTGACTAAGTTTAGACCAATAATTGAGTTTACTTGTGTCTAGACTCTGCATAAAAAACATTCCTTTTTGAATATTAATATTATATTTGATTTTTATTATTCAATAGCATTTTGATTATTATTTGAAAATGTAATTTTTATGTATAGGTATTTTACAGTTTTACCAGCTTTACTTAAACATAATTACTATAACTTACACCATTAATAAACATTACATATAGTATTTATATATATTACGTTATTTGTTCATTCATACCGTCACATCATAATAATATAATATCATCACTACATTATATTAATATAACATATTATTATTATTATTTTTTAAAAATTATTATTGGTTTTGTTAGAATAAATAATTAAATCAAATCAAGTAAAGTTTAATTTTTATACGTAAAAAAAAAAATAAATAAATAAAAAAATACCGTTTATATGGGTAAACAGAAATAAAAATAATTTAGCGTACTGTACGTTGTAAAAATGTACAAGTTTTGTTTTAAATACAAGTAATACAAGCAGTACACTTCTGAATATTATAATAATATTATGCATGCATGCTCAATATATCGCGTACTTACATTAATATTTCTGAATATTAAAAATATAACATACGAAATAAACGTGAAATAATGTTTAAGACATGTTATTCGAAAGTTAAATTAAAATTCTATCGAGGGTATTATAATGGTCCTTGAGACTCTCGTTACATTTAAATTCAACTATGACGTTAGAATAAATATTTTATTTTGTGATCTAACCGCATGTGGCACTTCACCATTATTGCCACTTCACGTTTCATATTGTACAATAATAATATTGTCGAATATATTAATTGATCAGTGATGAGTATTTAGCGCTTTTTTTTTTTACCCAATAGGATGTATTAATCACAGGTGGGTATTCGTTTCGTGTACTTACGTGTTCTGTTTACGAAACAATCATTCATCTTTGTTTACGTATACATAGGTGTACCTTTTATATTCATTATTAAATATAATACCGTGAAAAGTTATAAAATTATAAACAAGTACGTCCATTGTTCTAAGACACGAAATTCATTACAGTGGACGTACGTAACACACGTAATCTACTATTAACAATAATACTATTATGTTGGGTTAGTGCCAAAAAATTATAAATGTTAGTTATTGACACCAAACAATAATATACAAAAGGACGGTGTGCAAACGATAAAGTTAAAGTTTATTTGTTTATTTTTTAAATCGTTTTTTTTAACGTGTAACACTCCTCTGCAACATAATGATAATCATCTAGGCTTATTTATATTATATTTAGTATATAAATGTAAGCATTTTTTATATAGATAGTTGCGATTTCATTTATTCTGGTATTTAGGTTGATGTAAAGTAAGGCGTATCATCTAGTAGCATCCTATAATATACTTGAAATTCTAACGGACTTGTTTAATACACTATATTATTATTATCGATATTATGACCATACGACGACAACTATTTCATCATTACAATAATTATTAACGTATAAAGTCGCAAAAATCCATTTCGCTTAGATGTATATATACGGTGTAGGTTGGTATATAGTATATTATATCTATATTGAAATATCTTGGAGTTATGCGCTCTGCAATTGCTTGGCATGCCACGTAGATCCCATGACCTAATATTATAATATTGACGTATTTGACGTGTTGATTGACAATATACTACCAATCGGTAATAGTGAATCAATCGATTTATCTATATGCTATATGATGTTAGGACTTATAATATGTTCAACCTCAGGCGCGAAACGAAAGCAGTTTTGACCAGTCGATACGTACCAGCAGTTTTACAGTAATGTCACACCGATGTATTCGTTTAATATACAGGAGTATATTAAAAATTAAAAAAAACCTATATTTTAATATTATTGTAAAATTATTTATACAACCCGCACTATATTATATTGTCTCGTAAAACGTCCACTAAACGGTCGGCTAGCCGGAAACCGGTCACACGTACTCGTATACTTTAACGGAATTTATAAGGATATTGATTAGACATCTCGTAGAAGACTGAAATTTTGTCATGTTTATCGAAGTTCACAGTGGTTCAGGGATACGCAGTAAAAAACTAAGAACTGTGACAACACACTACAGCTTTCACTTTCATTAGGCTCACTAATGTAAACCGTTAACTCGCCCCCCGCTAACCACGGTCGCGGTATACCTTATCTACTAAAATGTACCATCATGGACTGTGGTATAATATTATCTATACCCGGTGATGACGTTAATAATAAATAAATAATAAATGTCTCGCTCTGCGTAACGCTGTGTCATTTCATTGTGAATTGAAACCATCTCGCCGCCCCCAACGTACAATATTACATAAGCTGTTATTTGTTGCGAGGGCGGAAATGTGTCCGTCCGCGTTTGTCAACGCGCGTGCACTACATATATTTCGATAAACACCGAGAGCGTGGGCTCGCGTATGAATTGTACATTATTATTATTTATTTTAATAAATTGTATGTAATAGTATGTAATATTATTACAAGGAAAAAACGACGCGAGCCAACAAACTACATGATATTTATATGCAGTACGCGCCTGACACCGCGGTGCTCTGTATACAGTATACTTGTGTATTATGTTCTGCGTCAGCGACTCGATGTAAAGTAGATACACGGAGTTTTACATAAATTTTACGATTATATTATTATTATTACTATCATTATTATGTAATGTACGTGAATGTGTGCGCGCGTGTCGTGTGATATAGTTAATAATATGATAATTTTTTACGTATTGCTACTAACTGTAGTTGAATAGATAACGACGGTTCGTCGAGACGAGAAAATGAATTCGAAAGACGCGAACTAGCTGTAGCGGTGTCGTAACATATTAATAATTTAGAAAGGGTGCAATACTAAATACATTATACTACATAATAGTATGTGACATATGTATTTACTATTTACCTACTTTAAGCACGCTTGAAAAATTTAAACAATTTGCAAATAATTCATTTTAATTGTCGATTTGTTTGTATTGCATTTACATGTTATACAGTAATTGAAGTTAATTTTTATTGGCTATTTTAACGACCCGGTCACATACACACATACACCAATGTATTGGGTATTGGAAATTGTTTATGCGTGTTTGTACGATACTCGCTGTAATAATAATACAACGATAATACCAACAATAATGGGATATTCATGACGCCTATAGTAATGCACATCAATAGGAAATTTAATTAAAAAAATATCATTAGACATATAAATATTTCTGAATACATGTCTGTATTGTAAATGTTCCTATAGGACACAGATAAAGTAATTTATGTGTGGTAATTGAAAAAGTAATAACACGATGATAATGATGATAATTGTATACTTTCAAAGTATAAAATATATCAACTAAATACGATTGGACGTTGGTTGATAAGAAAAACAATTGCGATGACTAAAACCATTGGCAGTACGTTTTCATATACCTATTATTATGAAACTGGTCGTCAAAATGCATAGTTATTCTTCATTTTCCGTGATAGTGTTTTATTGGTATCTATGTCATCTATAATATGTAGAATATCAATGACGAAAAATAAATAATAGTAAATAACTACTACAAAAATAATTGAACCGAATTACCTATTAATATTATACCTATATTTCTTCTAATTGTGACCGATTTTAATTACTTCCAACTGATCGTGACTATAAAAATATCGCCTCTAGGAGATCAAAACTTAATGAACGGTCATGTGTATATCATTAACTTAAAAAGTTACTACATAGCTGCCCCATAGGTACATATTTCATAAATCCGGTTTTTTACATGCTACCAGCATTGTACAGAAAAATAGTTGTCCGACGTTCATTGAATTATATCGGGTATAGGTTAGGTATTATCATGAATTACCTACATTTGCGTATGTTACACATTTTATGGTCTAATTATAAATAGTTATTAACCAAAAGATAAGTAATAGGTGTATACCTATACATTGGTATACATTGGTTTTTGCTAATCATATTCTACAATAATTATATATATATTGCATTTTATGTACTGAAAATGGCGGTGATGAATCAAAATATAAATTTTTGTAAAACGACCGTTAATCATCATCGTCATCATTATGATGAAACTTATAGGTTGTGGCACGCATAATAAATATTATCATAATATTATATGTCGCGTTATTACTGTCACCCGTGAGCTGTGCGCGATGGCACTGTAAGAAATATAATAACATAATATTTTAATCATGTCTGGTTACAATAATACCTAATTATTCACTATAACAATATTATGTATACTTGTTATTGGTAACTGTCATGAATCATGATAATAATAATTAAACACACGCAATTACATACATTGTGTTTGATATTCTTCTAAGTATATACCTATACCCTAACACTTAAGTTATTATTTTATTGTGGATGAGATGACACTATATGTATAAAATATATAAAATATAATGAAAGTAACTGTAGTTCAAATAAGTTTCGAAAAATTAAATGTCCAGATTGCCTTGGGTTGTGCGTTAATCCGTCGGACTCGTATACGCAGTTTGTCCTCGATGCGGAGCCAATACTTACATGTTAACACATGTATATATGGGTTACATTATCAAATATTAAACTGAATATTCTAAGTATTAAGCATAATGTGCTATAAGCTCTTGTATGTAATTAATTTTAAATAATGTAAAAAGGTTATTGAAAATAAGATGAATAATGTTTCTTATGATATACGAGTACTGGCTATATTGTGAGAATGGTATTATTATTGTTTGTAACTTTTATCAATCCATTATCAAATTTTACCTTTTCAACCATGGAATCTAGCGACTTGACGCTGGAGCTCGCTGGATGGCAATCAGCTAACTGATACCACGTTATGAACAAAACCAAACACATGTATTTAAACATCATTTTGAATACCGGTCTGAAAAAAATAAAAAAATTAAAACTATGCGTAGAAAAAGTTAGATAATTTTAATTTGCATCCCATTTTGTCGGCTATTGTTTGTTTTTTATTTATACTTTAATAAGCCATGTTTGTATTCATTAAAATGTTATAAATGAGGCATCATTTTAATTTCCATTAAAAAATCAAGGCCTTCGCCGTTGTATTAAAGTAAAAATAGTACGTAAACAACAATAAAAACTTTAAAAAAAGTTCAATATGAAAGTAATGTATTGTAAGTAAAGATCATTTGTTTGTTATAGTGTTGACCGCAGTAAGATTAAACACTATAAAGTTAAAAGTTGATTTCGTGTATACTATATACACTTTTAAGATATGGTTATTCCCGGTAAAAAGCTATAGTATTGTCATAATTTTAATTTATAATATTTCAAAGGTATATTAAAAATAAAATATTAAATTATGAAACAAAGGGATATGTAATTGTTATATATAAAAGAGCATTATTTATGTAAAAAGTATAAAAAATAATATAGTAAAAATATATTTTTAAGGAATATCTATATCATGTATAGTTAGGTACCGAGTATAATTAAAAATAAACTGAATATAATGATGAAGTATATAGTTTAAAAATTTAAATCACACAATTGTCGTAGAAGATAAGATTATAATGATATTAATTTAAATAATATTATTGTATTAAAATTTAAAACATCTTCACGATTCTTGTAGTGCATTAATATCACATTATTCGTTATATCGAGCAATTCCGAGTTTTTACTATTGCATAGCATATATATTTAATTGAAAGACAATTAGGCAGCTAATAAAGTTTGTCCGTTTACAATATTACGTTTAATGATATCCTTCTATCCACCTTCAAGAAATGGGGAACTCAGTCCTGAAGTTATTCAAATACTTACATAATACTATTAAATTTGTTTCATATAATTTATAATTCGCTGTACTTGATTTATTCGAATAGCCACGGTAGTCAAGAATAATATTATATTTAAATAAAATATATTATTTTTTTTGCATATATATTGTTAACGTACAAACATATTTGATTGTTGAACTTTTTTGGCTTGATTTTTTTTTTTTATTGGCAATAATAATCTAGTTTGAAGTCGGTAAATTTCACGTAATAAAAAACGTATATGATTATATGACTTACCTATAGCGTTTTAAAAACAATATTATTAAAAAAAAAAAAAAAAAATAATAAAAACTTATATAATAAATGATAAGTTAAGTGCGAACATGGTTTTTTTTTTTTAGAGAAAATATAAAAATACCGGTAAATTCGTATTTTTTAAATTACTGAAGAATTCTATTAAACGATTACTTCATCTCGACAATATATTTATGTATTAAGTAAACGCGACGAGGTCGCACACTATCTAAATCGCTATAGAGATAGGTATTATAGAAATTTATAAAAGTAAATATCAAAAAAAATATATTAGATATGCTTTTCTTATTAACAGTTATTATTTTAAGTGGATTTGTTAACAAAACGGCTTTAAAATATTTTGATATTTATGCGATTTTTTGTGATTAATTGATGATACAAATACATAACTATTATAGCTCGGTAATCGTAATAACAGCACGTTAAATAGGAAAAGCAGATTTTTGGTCAACAGTAGTTCAGGCGTATCACGATGAAGTAGTGGGTTTATAAAGAGTCTCATAAATTTTGTTGCAGTTTATTTCTATGGTTTGATTTTGCTAAAATATAAAAAAAGTTCTCATGCTTAATGTTTTTTAATAGAAGTAGTTTATTTTGGTAAAATACCAATTATTAAACTCGTGAGTACTTATAAAATGTAATGCGTATATCTAATATGTCAAAATATGTTTTGCGAGTCCGCGGGGCGCTTTTAATTATATGATTGTTCAAACGCGATAACAGCAATAATGACGCGTCCGTATTAGAATAGTGCATGATTAGTAGCCAGTCAAATACCCGTGGTGTAACACACAAATTATGCAAAGACGTAGTGAAGATTTCGAGAGACTTAATTATAACTGTTAGGTACAACGATTTTATTTTTTCAAACTCAAAGATCTCTTAATGACCATGATAGCGATATTTTACAATTTATAGTATCACGTTGTCCTATGATTTCGTAATATTTTTGGTGTAGGAGTACGTACAAAGCGCACGTGTGCCGAACGCATACACTGTTGTACTGTCTAAACGAAAGCGAGAGTATAATACGAGTGTTAATCTGGCAACGCGTTTCACTGTAGATAAAGGTACCTACCAGTATTTTTGCGATGAAGATAAATCATATGGTAATAAAATACAGGTACACAGCGTTGTTTGGAGTCAATAATATATTTGAATTGCACAGTGGTTACGATGCCGATAAAATATTCACACGACGATGGTTTTCGTTGTTGTGCAGTGTACCGGAGACTTTAACGAACCGAAATTAAAAAAAAAAAATCAATAAACCGATCGAAATGTCATTATCAGCTGTTTTTTACTACCATTGTTCGCAGTTGGTTGATAATTTTAAATATATTTACATAAAAAATAAAAACTTTGTAAATATATGGTGCAAATATCACAAGGCAGAACACGGATAACTAATTGATAGATATAAATAATAATACGCTAATCATAAATGTTATACATATTAATTAATTAACAATGGAAGCAAATCGTAAATACACGTTTATTAAAATCGTGTAATATTATACATCCACATAATAATACAATACCTATACCCAATATAGGTACCTATAAAAAAAAAAATAGGTTTCGAAAGGTGAGTTTGAAACGAGAAAAAATTCTTAAAACTTAAGGTTCGAATTCAAAAAATCATTTTCTTACATAAATATTAATAATATCACATAGTACATATTGTTGTTGAATGCCGGTAAAATGTGCTCGGGTTGTTGTGTGTAGTAAACGGCGACCTACGCAATAGTGTATTATAGAATAGTATTTATAGGTACCAATAGTTAGCTTTACGAATTGTACAAAAATAATATGACGAGAACGTAAATTGCAATTTTCCGGTGCATGTAATAATTGTGAATTTATGTTATTATAATATCATATACAGATAAATTATTATACCAACTATGATAATAATACAATCCCGGGACTTGACGTATTTATGAAGCAACGATATATAATATGTACGCCTCTATATACCTACATGTAGCCATATTTTTAGATATAATATATTCGTGGGTGACATACGTTCATAGAGAAATCGTAGTCGCGTTAGGTTTACTTTGGGTTTATTTTTTGTTACACCGATTAAACGCGTATGTACAAAACGAATAAAGTAATTATTGTATAATGATATGCATACGTTATATATGCTTGGCCGTGGGAAACCACGATGCAGTGCACCCACAATACACGGTGACAAAAATGTCGGCGTACCCGTACAAAACAATAATATCATATTACGTCCAACCATAAATTATACAATATACTATTATTTTATTATTATAGGGTTTATAGATTATTGGTTCGGCGAGCACAACGTTCGATGATTAGTTTTGATTTTTGAGCGATCGTTGCATATCGGTGATGACGACGAGGATTTAAAAACCGTAAATGTGTGTTCACAAAAAGATTTGAATCGTATATAGTTATTCATCCCAGTATACACAGTTGCACAATATTTTGGGTTATTTTTTTTCAGAAAATATGTAATAGGTACCGTACAATCCTATCAAAACACTATGTATTATTATAAAATAATAAGTTTGCTATAATATTGTTAAGAAATCACATTGGTTGCGAAATTGATGTATTTATGAATTAACCGCCGGGAACTAGATTCTTGGAACGTCATATAGATGAGAATATATTATTTACTCTGGTAGCTATGAGAAGGGGATATGGTAAAAAGGTTAGGTACACATGTTATTTCGTTATAATTTTTTTAAATAAAGCTTTCGACATGATGATAATAATGTGATGCGTGTTATTCAGAGCGGAAAAAATTAGTTGTTCATATGCCAATGATCTGGACATTAATAATAGTAATATGTAAGTCAAACTTTTGGTCCATTAGGTAATGTCAGTAACTACATGAAATAAGAAAATGAAAAAATAAATAAATAAAAATTTGCTGTGGATTTTAAATGATAATAGGTAGATGTAGGTACTACGCATGTATACTAGTTAAATATAAATTACACATCGAATCCTTTACAGCTCTGTTGCTCAGACAATTTTAGACAATATTTTTTTGTTTTAAATATATAATATATGTGTACATTTTAATAGGAGCGTCATGATATTTTTAAGTGCGTGTGGTGTCAGCAAGTGACTGTTTATAAAACATATTAAAAAGAAATCCTTGAACAGGAAACTCTCATTATATCATAGAACCATATTATATTAAATTAAGACAGTAACGTAATGAGTTTTATAATTTAATAATATACAATTGGAAATCCCTATACAAACTGTAACAGCTGTATACAATTTACTCATAAGACTATTTGAGCGGTTTTGTCTGCTCGAAAACCGGGAGAAAACCTACGACAATATATATTAAGTTCATATTATAATAGATGCAGTAAAAATTTAACAGAACACGAATTTAATATAAGACAGGCTAGTTCAGATTCGAGATGTCAATACGAAATAATGATGAATACACAATGTCAATATATATATAAATATATATATATATATATATATAGTGTCTGGACGATACGATGGGACGAATAATCAATAGAAAGTAAAATGCAACACACACATAAGAGAAGGTTCAGACTGGCCACCGACCTACAGTGTTTATGATATAACAGTTATTTCAGTTTCAATCCACTTTCCTTTTTACACATATTAAAACGCGTACCTTGAGTAACTCGTCCTCCTTATAGACGCGCGTACGTTGTACGTTCTACCTTAAAATAAAGACCCTGTAGGTAATGATAATAATATATTTATGTGTACCTAAACCAATTAGAGTATATTATGCATTCAAACATACATGTGTAGACGACCGATCATTAAATCATAGTATATTATAGCGTTATTATTATCGTTATTAATTGTTTTGATCGAAAAATATAGAAAATACTGCTGACACCTATTAATAGTGAACGGCTGATTCGGTAGATAATGCATATACGAATGCAGCTACAATAAATGCAGTAAAACCAGGACTACGCGTTTTTTAATAATTTATAAAAACGATCCATTTACATAACTATAATGTTATAATACGATAATAGTGTCATCGATTTGTTATTGTCGTGTCCATAATATATTATGTTTATCACAACGTAAATTATAGTTTTGAAATACATCAGATATAATAATAATATGTTTAACGTATTACTCGATAAACTGATACTACTGATACGTACTTCTTTATTAAATTTATAAATATGATAATAGTTAAAAAATAGCTTCTTTCACTTTAGCGTTGGCTATAGGTCCTTGCAATAGTTTATATAACTAACGAAAAACGTGTTATTAAATTATTATAAAATGTTTAGTAGTTTTACGCATACCTAGATGACATTTTATATTAAAAATCTAAGTATGTACTTATATTACATTATAATACAGGTACCTAACTAGTAAGCCCTTCATTTACGATGTATTTAAATGCAATTTTCGTCTCGTTAAATCAATTGTACTAAACAAATAATTTCGTATGATAGCAAATAATAATAATAATAATAACAATTATTATAATAAAAAAAAATCAACTTTTCATTAAAATTATATCATAAAAAGTAACATATAATATTATAACGGTAAACATAGAACAGGCATGGGTTGTTAAAACACGTTTTGATTATTGCGAGCAGATTATCAGTGTTCGATAATGCATAGTAATACATTCTTGTTATGTAAAAATTGAGTATTACTCAGTCGGTTCACTTATTACTTATTCACGTCATTAGCACTTCTCTCTGCCACGCGCTTCGTTCGCTTCGTGTTACTTTGCTTTCCCTTTCAAAATCGTTTAATATTTCCTCTTGGTCGGGTCTAACAATGTCGATCGATCAGAATAATAATATTAATTTTCGTTTACTATTGGTTAATATAAACTCGGGAGTACGCATCAATGTTCTGTATACAACATATTATGTATTATTATGTGCACCATAGTTGGTGTAAATATCGTTAATGTGATAAATATCCATGGGAAAATAGTGAATACCCATGAACACTTTGAGAAAACATGCCCTTGAATGCCAAAAGTCTCGAGTGTTTTAATCGTTCGTGATGAATGAAGAATAATATAATTTTGTGTGTGTGTACGATGTGTTAACTATTCGTTCTTAATTAAACAGCGTAGCCAAAATAAGTGATTTTTATTCAATGCCACGAACTTGAAATAAAATTATTATCACAATGACTAGGTATTTAAGATTTGTTGAATATCGCTGAACACTGTAATTAATTAAATATATTGTTGCAATAGTAACATTGATAGGTATGTAGGTACTGTACCGGGATATATAAACCGTCAACGTAGAAACCGATACATTGATGTTCTATCGAGTAATATAAAAAGTAAAAAATAAAGAAGCGAATTAAATCGTTATTTTTAAAAATACACGCACATAATCCGTCCAGTTTTATTTGTGTATAGAAATGATGAAATATGTTTTTATTCTTTAACTATGCGATATGTTGAAAAAATTAAAATTAAAATTACTAAAAATATATGTTTATACGTAATTGATATCTAAAATATATGAATCGTATAATATACAATATATATAGTATATATTGTGATATTTAGACAGGTAAATGATATAGATACATAATAATATATTATTTAAACACTATCTAATACCTATACCTAGAGTACTATGTAGGTAATAATTTTAAATAATGTGTTATCATATTTATGTCTTTATTAATTTAAAACTTTTATAGAAACATTTTAGATATTTCAGCGGACAGTATAGAGTAGGTATAGACTGTTTCAGTTTAAACATTAATAATCATTTCGTTGGAAAACGTTTTCTAAGTTTATTATGTCAAAATTGATGCAAAATATTTATGAACAATAGTTAAAATAACAAAATTCTATGGTTGATAGACAAAATATTAGTTAAATTATAGAATATGAGTTTCGTTTCAATGGTCGAAATTTGCACAAAATGATCAATAGTATAATATGGGTGCGAAATTAAACATATAATTTGTGTTAAATATCGACAACCAAATAATGATTCGAAGATAGCAGATATATTATATTATTATTTTAGAGCATAAATATAAAAAAAAAATGTAGTTGTAATTAATAAATAATAAGTATCGGTGAGTTAAAAATATTAAACGAGTTTTAAATAAAAAATTATTAGCATAATAGGTGCGTATAAAAAAAAAGTTCTTATTAGATACATTAATTTATATAATAACTAGAGTTTTTATGCAATCAAAACAAACAAAAATAAATTAAAAAAAAATATGATAATTAATATTATTGTGACATATTATTAAACGATTTTTAGTGGTTTGTATACAAATGGATTTATTTTTATGCGTACGTGATATTAGAATTACATCATATTATACTTAGTTTATAATAAAAAAAATGTTTATGTAAATTTTTAATTCATTTGTTTTTAACACAATAGCTCGTATATATACAACATACATCGAGCAATTATCTGGTCAGATGTTGCACTAGTTCTTGAATAAAAACGTGTGACATGCTCTTTTTAACATAACGACTGTCAAGAAATAGATACTTGTAAAATACGCAGCATGTAAAAAAATTCGTCTTATCGTTGGCTTACAGGTTACAGTAAACAGTCAGATGTGATGGACATTTGTTTTTTTTTTTTTGAGTATTCGAGAATTAAAAAAAAAACGCCATCATTGGTAAATTGTAAAGTGTTTGTTAATATTATTTATCGATTTTATAAAACTCGACTACTACACGATGTACGGGTATGCGAAAAAAATATGTCACAGTACTACTTACTTCTTCTGATAGTGTTTGAACGGAAACGCGGTTTTCAGTTGCAGTGTCGATGTTATTAACGTCAACGCGCACTCGCAGCACTAGCACATTTCAAGCACGAGGACCGACGATGACTTAACAACGTATCACCTTGTTCCTAATGCGCGAGTTTAAAGTCATAGTGGATCTCTGTTTCTGTAGAAGGGTCGGCGCGTGCCGGACTGGAGGGGAAACTGACCAATATGTAATAATAATATTATACGTACGTACCTACCTACCTACGTCTGATATGCACGGTGAAAGTAAATAATATAACACTACCAGACGGGTACGAGAAAAAAAAAATCCTAGTGTGCCCCATTAGCTGGCAAATCGTAGGTATAGAATATTGTTCATACATAACACACTGCGGAGTATTGTGTATCGTATACTCACAGACGTATTTTAGATTAATTATTATTATTACTATTATCATGTGGGTATGAGTGGGTGCGTTTTCAAATTGGCCGTTTCCCGCTGCCGCACAGATTCGACCCAAATTTGTTTTTTCCTATACTTTTACCTCTTCTGAAGGTCCAACATGAGCTATAGTAAGTAATAGGTACCTACGTAAACGAATACTATGATATTATAGTTTTTACCATACATATATTACAGGGAGGGGACGGATGCATTTTTATCATTTTACTCCGACGACAGACTTTTCTTTCAACTCCCACCTTGTATAGCGCGCGCACTTATAGGTGACCAGACACTACCTGAATATTTACGTATTTTATTGCCCAATGTGTCACAAAACTCTCGAACGGTTATTCGCTTTTTAATCCAATTATATTGCATAATCATAAAATAAAAAAATGTATATTATAATTTTTTTTACTGTCTCACGAGTTATATTTGCTGGAGTTGGAGCGCGTGCGACTGATACAATCAGTTGCAATCAGACTACGAAGTAATGGTAGATTTATCCGTGGCGATTGATAGAATTTCCATTCTTCAGGATTAGAATGTATATATACTTAAAAATAATTAAATATGCACTAAAAAAGTGTGAAACACATATTCAAAATAGAAATTTAATTAAAAACTTAAAAGCTTGTAGTTATCTAAGGAAAGATTTATATTATTTATGGATAAGTTTTCCGTAACTGGGGGTCTGAGAACTTTTAAAAGTGGATTTTAGACCAATAAAAAATACATGATTGGAATGTATATTTAGAAAACTTATTAATATATTTAAAATATTACTTTACTTTATAAAAATGGCTGTGTAGTTAAACTTATAATATTATTAATTGCAGGTTGATGGTAAATGTCGAACTGACTCTTGTGTACCATTTTAAAATATCATATTTAATAATAATTTAAGCAAGTCGAACTGTGTCGAGAGTGTATTTTTTGGTGATAAATTATACAGTATGTATCATTGTATAAAATATGATAAAATAAAATAAATATTTCAGTATGTTACTAAACGCATAATAATATATAGTTACCTGTATTAAATAATTAATTTCAGACGTTTATATTTGTCTTCGTAGAACAAAATGTAAAATTGTGCAGATACGTGTTGTCGTATGCAAAAATGAGATATGCTGTATTTTTAAATAGGATGGAAAGTATGAATAATAACAAAACAAACACGTGAAAATAAAATGAGGGCAAAGATATTACAAATAATTTAATACAAAAATCTAATTTTCGACAAATTTGCAGACACAAGATTTGCCGTGGGTGTAACGACTAACGATATGTCATTTCATATTAATTTCAGTAGATGGTAGACCACTAGTCACAGATTATAACCATACGCTATACCTATGACGTGTTAAATGTACGTCGTACGTATAGGTACGTACAACACCAATATCATATTTATTAGTATTAATTATTAGTTTATATTAATATAATACTTAACAGTTTTAAATATTCGATAATTGGATATATTAACATTAATTAATAGTTAATACATTACTATAATAATATTAAAATTATATAGGTAATTCGTTAAATTATATAGGTAATCTATGTGCAATCGTTGTTGACTAAAATCGTTACCATTCCTTGTTAGCCAAATTTCAAAAATGTCGATTATTTATAGTTTATACGATCAAAATCGTAACCTTCCCTTAACGGCTTTTTAATATTTGATTTTAATTTAAACATATAAAAAAATATTAAGCGTATAGGTATTGTAAACATTTTTTAATTATATCATTTTTATAAATACTTGATCAGTATATCTATTATAGTTATTTTATGAAAATATAATTATGTTTTACTTTTTGTCATGAATTTTCTGTCAAAATAAAACTCAACAACAATCAATTTACTAACTAATGACAAAAATGAAATATATTTGCTACGTGCTCTGTACCGTATATCGTATATATTGTAATATATTTTATTTTTATTTTTATATTACATAATAATTTTATATAACTTAAATTTTTAATACTTTTCTGTATGCATATCATAAAGTAAATATTAAACCTGTTGATTTTATTGAATATGGTTTTGCCAACCTTGATGTTTAGTGTTTTACTTAGTACCCATATAATGTACGTAAATCGTTATATCATATGGAATATACCTCAAGTAATAGGTATATAAAATAAATTATGAAAAAAAAAAAAAAATTTAGATAGCAAATTTAATTTGTATCATTTTTTCATTATAGTAAATTATATTGGTGTTACAAAATTAATTGGATTAGATACTTTTAGTATGAATATTTTGTCTTAACGATAGTTTCAAGTATTTGTTTTTTACCTATAAATAAATAAAATATAAATAATTTTTTAATCAAATTCGTTGGTAGGTAAATAATTATCTATTAATAATAATCTGTATACATATATGATAAAAATTTAATAAGGATATACAATATTAATTAGTTTTTAAGAATTAAATACATAAAAGTACTTTAAATATGTATGTATACCTATAGGCTATAATAAATAGTAGTATTATAATTATGTATAAAATATAATAATACAACGTAATATATATTCGGAAAATATTATTTCACTTTATATTTTTTATTTATACCTATCTGCCATGAAATAAATGTCAAGGTTACGATTTTTAAGTATTTAAACGCTTAAGATTACATGTCCTTCTTTGTGGTTCCACATATTTTAGATTTATACCTAAATGTTATAACTTAAAAGTAATATAATCTACTACATGATTTCAGAATCCTAAAGATAAAAAAAAGTTTTATTAATATAGCCATGTAAAATACAAATTTTAAGTTTTGATGATTTTATTCACATATTGAAATTGGATGTAAAATAAAATTTAAATTTGGAAAATTTGTTATCAGATGTGGAAGATTATTAGACCATTTATCTATTATTATTAACAAGTGTACTAACTAAGCCAATTATTAATTTGGAAATTATGATGAATAATTTTTTCTTATACTTAGTATTATTGATATTATAGTATTTTAATCATGGTATTATTATGACGAAATTTATTTTACTTAATTTTATTCTTAGTTCAATTGAATAAATTAAATTTCATAGAAGTTTTATTAGTTATGCACTCATAAGGTTCTTTTATAGCGTGATATAGCATAAATAAAAAAATTGGTATGATAAAGAAATAAAAATATGAAAAATAAGACTTAATATAAATGTGTTGAATATGTACAACAATTAAAATGTAAAAATACAGATAATTATAGCTTACTTGAAACGAAAACGGGAAAAAATCGAATACAATTGTTGAGGTGAAACGGTATATTTTTTAAATTATTAAGGTCAGTATTTTTATTTATTTATTTTTTTTATTATTAAGTATATTTTATAAAAATTATTTGAATTAAACTAATTTTAAAACAAAAATTACTTGTTCAGCCTTGAATTAATTATAATGTACATTTATTAAAACTAGCCATGGCCATTGAGAAGTTATATTTTAATGCATACTCTTAATAAATAGTTACTCATTAAAAATAAGTTACTTAAAATTAAATCATGATCTAGAGTACGATTTATAAAACACCAGGAAACATTAGAGAACAAGAAGAGTAATTGATTAAAACGCATGCAATTTAATTAAGTTTGAATTTTTTGAGGTTCTCTAGAATTGGATACCGTACATTATTGCAGGACGTAAGCAATATTTGTTTATAAATTATTGTTTTACTTTTTAGAGAAATGTTGGACCCGAGAAGTAGATTTGATTTGTAGTCTGATGTTAAACGATGTTATTTTTGATTTAATGTGCCTAGGTTAGGTTTTTTTTCGAGGAAGAGACCTAGGTATTTAACAGAATTATCTATAGGGATTAAAAAAAACTTAAAATTATTACATTAAAAATAGTAAAAATATATATTATTTTCACAAATGATTTAAGAAAAGAATATTAATAAAAACAAAAATGTTGAGAAAATGATTGTTTAATTTTAAAATAATAAACGTGTATATAGTATCTCATTTTTACGACTAACTTGTACCAGTTGTACCTTAAGATACGTATATATATATATATATAGTTTCAAGTTTGAGTGTACCTATATATGTGTCAGTGTAGTAATAAAGAGTATGTTGTTTGTTCTAATCACATCGTTTGCTTACGTGAAATAAGCTTTTTTTTAATAGAATTATTTATTCTTATTAATTTTTAGTTAATTCCTTATGTATTTTCTTTTTAATAACATAATATAGATTTGTACACTATAATACAAACGATTAAATAATAGAATAACAACCGGTAATAATTTACACCGTAAAATGAGGGAGTGGGGTACATACATGCAGTGTATAATATGTGTGATATCCATAATCATCTCACAATCGAAGAGAGGTACCTACATAAGCATAGTCGTAAAAAGCGTTTAAGTCATTAGAAGCGTGAATTTCCGGGAACAGTGTAACTCTATGAAACTAAGATGATTTTTTATAGTTATATTGTTATGTCAGAGAAATACGCTAGAAAATAATAATCATTCGACTAAACAGTTTGTAGGCAATCAACTGACGAACTGGCGAAATCCTTCTCGACGATTGCTCTATAATGTATACTTAAGTACATACATTAGACGTCGTATAAAAAGAATAGAAAACACTGACAGTTCCACTACGATTAAATTAATGTGATTTCTGCTCAAAATTTGTATACCTGCGTATTTAATTTAAAATTTACCGACAACTATAATAATA